ATATGATTGTAGCAATTCCTTTTCTTTTTTTAAAAAACTCTGTCTAATTTATAAAAAAAAACTTCTGTATCCTTTAACGAATCTATATAATTTTTTATCGTTTCATGATTCTTTTTTTTGTAATTTAACATATCAAGGCAATTTTGTGTATATAATTCAAACAAAACTCTTTAGAAATATAATTCATCTGATATATATATATATATATATATATATATATATATATATATATATATATATACTTACAATTTATTTTCGGTTATAAATTCTTACAATCATATATTACCTGTTGATTTTCATCAATCAACGATTATTATTATCATAAATCATGTTCATTAATTAATTATTAATTCACAATAAATGATAATTATTAATTGACTGAAATCAACAATTAAGATATGATTATAAAAAATTATAAATAAAATAAATTATAAATATAATCTTTATATATATATATTGCGTCACAGTAATCTAAACTTTATAACAATATAATTTAAATTTTGATAAAATTCGAGAATAATTATTTAATGCATTAAATTGATAATCATATTTTTCATCTAAGAATATCTTCTCGGAGCAGTGACCTAGCCAGACCAGCAGTATGTTTGATTAAACAGTACAGTCAAAGTGTCAACACAAGGACAAAATTGGCTGTTATCATTCAGCAACAGGGACCAAAATTCCAGGATCATCATTTTCTTTTAAAAAAATGCTAATTACACGTATAATAAAACATAATTTCTCACATTTGAATGAAATGTGACAGAATTAGAACACAGATATACATAGAGAGAATTAAAATTAATCATGATTAAATGATAAAAAATTATATAAATTGTAAAATAATATATGTATATACTCATTAAATAATTAAAGAGAAACTTTGGTCATGAAAAATGTTAGAATTGATGGTAATCACATGGGAGTTAGGTAAGGAACTAAAAACCAAAAGGGTCCAAATGGTTCACATGCACACACGTGAACCTGACTCGCACCACGTGGCCGGTTGTCATCTTCGGGCGCATCTTACTATTCTAAGTTCTCTTCCAAGTTCCAACTACGAACACCTCTCACCTATGCACCTATGCACCTATTCTATTTTGGAAAAGACCTCTATCATTATCATGTGTGCAACAAATGGGGAGACACAACATTCAATTATTTTAACCCCTTTTTTATTAAAAAAAAATTTTAGTTGGTGAAAAAATTTATTATATATAGATACAAGAATCAAAATGCTAAGTTTTGACATTGTAATTATCGAAATATTATGTTTTAGAAATAAAATATTAAAATGTCACATTTCATACCCTTATAATTTTTAGAGGTGTTCCGTAGTGATATACTGAACAGTATGCGTTCAGAGATATTTAATAGTCACGTATCTTGGATGGCTTATAGCAAATCTCCAAATCACTACGCACAAACAATATGTTTATGGCCAAGACGTGGAGTGTGTGCAGTAATAAGTAAATGAGTTCAGAATGTGTACCTGTGAGTTTAAGTCTTGTATTTATAAGGGTTACCTCTTGGGCTATGTAGATCTCCCAGTTGATGTAAGATTTAATTACTTATTATTAGGGATGAGGGTTCTATCATCTGTATCTTTACTGTTCCATGCTGTTAGGATAATTGAGTCGTTATCCATTCAGTGATTCTTGGGTAGGTAGTTAGAATATGAATATATTCCATAACAGATTGGAGAAAGAATTTGCTGTCAGAAATAACGGGTTCAGTAGATTCTTGTCGATAAACTGGATCCATTAAAACTGATAACAAATCTAAAACGTGACATTTTGGCATTTTATTTTTGAATTGTTGTATTTTTAAAATTAAAATGTCAAAAAGGTGATATTTTGGTTTTTTGTCCCTCATTCAATCTAAAATAACACGAGCTAGTTAGGTAAGTTCTAATGATGGTGACTACATACATGGTTATCCCATATGTTTAGCCCCACAATAATTGAACTCTGAATTCTGAAATGTATGCAAATCCAACGATAAGGAGATATTCTGACTTGGATTCGGTTTAAAGACTAACTTGGATTGGAAAGAATGAGATTGACAGCATCCCTAGGTCCCTACAGCTTTGACACGTGTAATAATTAGGTGGGGTCACCAATCACCAAAACATGTTTCAACAATCATTTTCATTAAACACTGTAAGCTATCATATTCTTTGCATATTCATTCATGATAAAAGTAGAGTAGTGGTAGCATTTATATGGGTTAAAGGTTACAGTTTGTTAGTTCAAGGAAGCATCTATAAATTAATGAGGTTATAAAAGAGAGATTTGATTTGAATGTCGTGTTAATTATTGCCAACATACAAGACAAGATTATGAATAAAACAGGTCTACTAATAAGGCATCACAGGCTGTTGTGTTGACCGAAAAGGGTACCAACTGTTTTTGCCACTCTGCTTAACATGAATGCTTGGGGTCATATGTGAAAAGGGGTCTGGCATTCTTGCCGGTGCTGCACGTGAGAACTAGTAGCAGCCTCAAATGCACACTCCTACATTATGGAAAACCAAATATGAATTTTAATGATTTTATTTTATTTTGTTTTTCTACCAGTTCATGCACAACTTGACTAATTCGATTCGATTTTTATTAGGAGTATATCTTTGAGTTTTTTTTAAGGTATTTTTCAACCGACAGCTGAAGACTAATTATTTCGAGATGTAGAGATTATTGAACTAAGTTTTGCTTAAGGGACTCAATCATCTACTAACTGTATCAGACTTTGTTGATTTGAGAATATATCTTTTTGTATTGGGAGAATACATACTCCTTTAATAAAAATAAGAAAAAACCCCAAATTCATAGATGAATCTACACTAAACTTTTGTGCTTTCTGAATCTACACTGATTGTTGCATGTTTCCAATATGCGCAGTTTTGAACATTGATTCAATTGGGCAACACTTTTGTACTGATGAATCTACACTAAACTTTTGTGCTTTTTGAATCGAGCAAACCTTTAGTACAACGGAAATAGGTACATTTTTATTATAAAAAAAATGAATACAAAAGAAAATAACCATAAAAATAAAAGTAGTGTAAATATAGGGGTTTATACTTCTCATGTAACATAAGAAGAGTCTTCTCATGCTACATTTACATCGTTTTACGTGCCATTATTTTTAATTTTTTTATTTACTTTTTTTCAGTGAAGCCCATCTAAGTATGTGTGTGCTGCAATAAATCTCATCTTTCTTTTTTTTTGATAACATATAAATAAATATCATCTTATGTTACCTAAGAAGTATAAATCCTTAAATATATTAGTGTTCTATACGTCCATAATACTGAAAATATTTTCTTATGAGCCATAAAGACAAATGACAATCACATCACAGCTGGTTAACATAACACCATGCTTCAATTGCATTTCTCATATGGATCTATCTGCCACACCCCCAGTAACGTTTGTCCTTGAAAATGAGAAACAATAAATGCAAAGGAAAGCAATCACAACCATATTCCTCAAACGTACAAAACTATTTAAGCTAAAATTTCATTCTTCATTTACTTTTTTGTGTAATTTGAGATCAAACACGTGCATTGTCTTCAATTACATATATGCCTATCTGCCTCTTTGATCACTCATTTCTATGTTCTCATATAGCTAAATAGTTTGCAACTGTATTCATTTTTGTCATGGTGTTCTCGGGAACTTCATAATTTTTCTTTCTGTTATACCTTATTACTCTATTCAGTCTTCTCTTGTCGATTCAAAGATGTTTTATTGAGGCAAAGGTATTCTTTATAAAGAAACCTAGCAGTAGCATCAATGTTCAAAACTGAAACTTTCGAATTCTTTTCAAATTAGAGTGACAAGTGGAACCCATTTTTTCTTCAATTTTAACTAGAGGATGGTAATAACCCAAACATCTAGAAGCAAATTCGAGATCTTTTATTTGATTGATAGTAGAGGTGTAAATGGGCTAGGATAGCCTACAGAGACTTACGGTATAGTCTATATTAGACCAAAGTTGGCCTGTTATAAACAGTAAAATAGAGCATGTCTAAGCTTTTAAGAAAATCTATTTAAAAAACAGGTCATAGACTTTTTTGTACATGTCGGGTCTATAAGTCTATAGGTCGGTCTATATCATATTATTTACTTTAAATAAAATAAATAAAATTATTATTTTAATAATTTTGAATAATAAAGTAATATTATTTTAGTTATTCTTTTAATGTTGAATGTTTAATAGGTTTAAACAGACTAACAGGCCAAGGACAAGACTTTTATTTCGTAAATATAGATAAGGCCAGACTTGTAATTTAGGGTCTACATAGACTAACAGGCCAGATCAGATCCAATATTTTTTTTACACAAGCCTAATCTATTTAAATCAAAACCTAACCTATTTACACTGCGAAACAATTTGGGATTAGTAGCAAAATGCTCTACTCCATTTGGATTAGCCTTATCTAAATGGATAGGACACCCAAGAAAAAAAAAACATCTAGAAGCAAATGCAAATGAAATTCGGAGCTCTCGTCTCTAACAAATGCCTTATTTTATTTAATCCAAGCCTTTTAAATTGTTAAAACTTACATTATCTAATTGAAATGCCCACATTCAAACACAAACTCTCCTTCTGGTATTCAATTAGCTTGATTTAAATTCTAGTTAAGATTAAAATCACTTCCCATTAAATTCGAATACCAGCTCACCCCCTTAAATTTTAATTGAGATTATTTTACTAAAAGAATTTATATTGAAAATTTTGATTTAAAAGAATTTTATTTCACCTGATAATATTCACCAGGCACCAAACATATTAACCACTGAAAAAGATTATAGCAAACATTCGTAGTTCTAGAAAAACGGTGAGTCTTGAGCATTATTAGGAACCAAGGTAATCGCTGCTAAACTTCTAAAAGATAAACGAGTTCATACTTACTTTGATAAAATAACATATCAGTTTGAAGGAGTCATTCATCAAATTAAATAAACAAAAAAGCAGAAGTAACAAACGTTACAACAAGTAATAACGAACAAGATTGAGAATACAACCATCTGCACAATTTGCAGCTCTTACATCATTCATAAAACAGACTTCAACAGGGGTCAAAAAAAAAGAAAAATTGTTTGGACTTCTAAAGCTGAAAAACGATGTTATGACAAATGAAAGTATCCTTAACAATTCTTTTTAAAAAAAATGAGAATATGTAACCTACTGAAGAAGCAAACACAAACTACAAACTTGCTTTGATGCTAGATATATCAGTCCTAGACTAAAAATGCTTGGTTTACAAGCTTCTATCTTCCATAAGGATGATATCGACCAGCAGCACCATATCCTCCTCTGCTGCCATAGAAGGAGCCTCCACTAGCCCCTCCATATCCACCCCCAAGACTGGCATCATAGCCACTTTGATAGGCACCAGCACCACCAGAAGAACCCCCACCACCAGCACCACCACTATATGCTCCATAACTCTCACTAGGTCCACCATACCCACCTAGATCATAGCCTCTGCTAAAGCTTCCACCATAACGACCTGCATACCCAAGGGAAGGATCTCCCCTATAGGGTCCCATTGCACCAGCATATCCTCCATACCCACCAAATTCACTTCCATAGCCACCATAAGCACCACCCCTACCATAGACACCAGCAGACCTGTAACCACCAGCACCAAAGCTGCCACCAAACCCATCATAAGCATCTCCGTATCCACCACCACTGTATGAAGACCTTGAGTCATTATAGCGCTTGGATGATGGAGGTGGTGGGTTTGGCTTCTTTGGTTCAGCTTTCTTGATTTCCACCTAGAAAGGAAAGATAAAGCAGTTCCTTTATTGATAAAAAAATTGCATTTAATGAAAATAGACTGAATAGACAAAACAATTCAAGAAGTTTTTTGCTCAGTCAAATCATAGAAATAAATTAAGTACAATGTCAACAATGTTTGTGATTCATAAAGCACCAATCCACAACTGTAGTTCAAACAATTAGACTTAGAACTAAGAAATACCTCTCCTCAAGGTTGATAGATCAGGCCAATGTACTACTCAAGGAAACAAACTCTTGCAGATGGGACAATGTATCAGGAAACACTAAACCTAATCCCCCACCCCGAAGATAAATAAACAAATAAACAAAAGGTGATTTCCCAATTCTAAGGAAGAAAGAAATATGTTTGAACTTCCTTGCCATACACTTTTTCATTCTACAGTAAAAGTTTCCCATCAAAGAAAAAGTGAAGCTCACTAATTCTATCCAAAAACCAATGCCCCCTTATTGGGCCCCAAAGAAAATCCACTCTACCACTGAAAGCAGTAATTACTAACAAAAAAATAAAGATGCATAAGATGTTACAGAACTATGCAATTCATATTTTTTGTGTGAAGTACATTGCAACTGGTATATTGAATTCAATAGGAAAATCGGAAATCATGGCTCCTTTATTATTGACAGTAAAGTATTGGTTAAAGTTAATAATGATTCATGGAAACTATTTTGTGGACATGAACACCAAAGCCATTAATGAGCCTCCACTTAAAAGCTTAAACTATTAGAAGAGTTGGGATTCCACAAAAACAAATACCAAAAAAAATCCAATCAGGGTACTGAGCAAACCAAGAAGCAGAAATTATACTGTTTTCTTGCCATTTTAACATAAACTCTCATCCAAGACAATTTCAAACTTAAAATTAACCCTCAAGATTTGGTAGTCAATGACTACAGTCAGAGCCCTTTACTACCTTGTATCCTATATCCCAAAGGTACAATGATGAAATGCAGGTACTAGTTTTGAACAAAAGATTCCTCACCTGAGTTCCAGCAAACTCAATCTTATTCCCCATAGATAGAAGATCATCAACAGCTTCCTCAGAGTCAAAGGTGACAAACCCAAAGCCACGAGATCGATTGGTGGAGTGGTCCCGCATTATTTGGTTATCTTTGACTTCTCCATAGCGTGTAAAGAAGTCTCTAAATTCATCTGCACAAGTGCATCTCTGAGTAAAAACAATATCAACTGAAGCAAGGTGCCATTTGCTGCAGGCTGCAGCTATTTCATAACTAACAAGTCACTTTCCAAATCAATAATCGCTATTTAGTGAATTATTTTTAACTGAGCTTTAAAGGGAGCAAGGGAAATCAAAATGAAAATAGTTAATTTACTTACACATCACCCACCATATACACATGACACATCATTCACATCTGCACAGATGTGACTTATGTGTGTGCAAGTGGGTTCATAAGAAGACTATCTAAATGAAGAAAGCTTGAACATATCTGGTACACTACAATATGGGATCTCTGTCTGCGTACAATATCAGAGCAAACCTCTGACAGATCCTAAACAGTACTCTCATATAAAAAAAAACATTGAATTATAGAATTTGAAACTTAAACAATTTTTTAAGTCCATACTGTCCAAATATTTTGGAGTTTACTCTCTCAAGGTGTTGTAATGTGTCCCCCTTGTTGATACCTCACGGTCAAGCAGCAAAAATCAGCTAACTAAAGAGACAACCTACCTTCAGTCACATTTGAAGGAATCCCACCTACAAAAATTTTCTTTGTCCTAAAATCCTTAGAGCCAACAGCTCCCCTTGGTATGGTCCGCTTAATTTCAACCTATATATGATCCCAAAACCGTAAGAGCCAGTAAAGTATCCATTCACTAATCACTATAATCAAAACAAAACATGTAAAATCCTAAGCAAAGACATTATCAAATGCAAGACATACTTGTTTGCCATTGATAATATGAGTATCCTCAATGACTTTATCAACCACAGAGGGATCAGCATACGTTATAAACCCGAATCCACGAGGCTGACCAGTTTTCCTGTCCTTCATGATGACAGAATCCGTAATCTCACCATAGTTACCAAAGTGCTTGATAAATTGAGCTGCAATATGAAGCACAACCCAAAGGTGTAAGAAACCAAAGCACAAAGCTCTAAAAATCTACATAACATAGAGAAGGGATTTACAACCCCAATAACTATAATTATAAATAAAGACAAAGCAAGCACTAACCAATGGTCGTTTCTCTCGCTAAACCACCTATAAATATCTTTCTGCAAATTATGGGGTCGAGTGAAATTAGAACCAAATCTAACAATATTGACATCTAATCTATAAAAACAAATGCAACAAAAATACCCTTTTGCAAGAAAATACGAAAAAAAGATTCTTTTTAAGTTGGGGTTTCTCAAGGTTCCAATTTTAAAATTTTCTCGGAAACCAGACATAATTGAGAAAGAAAAGAAAAGAAAAGGAGAGGGGAGAGAGAGAAAGTTACCCAGGACTGGCACCATCGCCGGTAAGAGGTTGGGAATTGTGGTGTTGTTCTTGTTCTTGTTCATGTTCTTGTCTGTGGGAAAAGGGTCTAACGACGTCGTTGGGTTCTCCACCACTCAGGACATGGTCGTTACCGGGCGATTCCATGGCTTACGAATTCAGAAGAGAAAACGAAAGAAAGAGAGTTTCTTTTGGTTTTGGGAGCAGAGAAGAGAAGAGAAGAGTAACCCTAGATGTTAGATATAATATCCTCTATATGTGTTTTATGCGTTTCTAAAACCCTCAAAAAAAAAAAAAAAAAAAAACCCTATTTTGTTTTGACTGCGATGTTTATGTTTATGTTTATGTAGATGTAGGTCAAGCTTAAGGTTAAGGTTAAGGTTGTGTATTAGATTAGAATTTAAAAAAAAAAAAAAATTTAGATAAAAAATGTAATAGATTTTAAAATATTATTTTGAATGGGAGGAATTTCAAAGACTTTTTCAAAAGATACTTTTTACCGTCAAGAATTCATAAGATTGAATTTTAAAGGATTTTAATAGAACTTATAAAATTTGAAAAGAAATATGGATTTATAAGATTTTAAAAAATTATATGAATTTTTAACAAACATTCAAAATTACAAGAGTCAATAAAAAAATAACAAAGAAATGCAATGATATTAATAAAAAAAGTAAAACCTAATATAATTTTATTAATTAGTAAAATTCATGATAAAATTTCATTTGAAATTTTTTGCAATTGATCTTGTAAACCTTGGAGTTTTTATTCTACGTAATGAGAGTTTTCTAATCATATATCATATGCATGTTTTCATTGCGTATTCCAAGAAAATTTTGAACTCTGAATTTATGAGTTTTATTACATGAAAGTTTAGAAAATTTCTCAAATTATTTTCAATTGATACATTGAAACCTTAATTGCGTTGGGACTTTTGAAAAATAGGTTTTTAGTGATCTATTGACACAAAAATTGTTTGAAATCGTTTCTTATAGCGGAGGAATTTTGTTCATGAATGTATTGTTATTAAACAAAAGGTTCATATTATACAAGTTTCAATATTTCTTTACATCGATATTGTTCCATTGATTTAAAACGAAAAATAGTTTGAGAGTTTTTGTTCCTTTATTGATTTCCCATTGTCTTATGTTATTTTTAATACAAAAATTATACATTTTTTTGACAAGAAAAATCGTGATCAATAGTTTGAAAAATTATTTTTTAAACTTTCAAAAATTGTTTTTGAGATGGATTAGATGAAAATCTTGTTGGGTTGTTGTTTTGTGATGAAAATCGCTCAAAAATCTACTGCTTTTGAGCTTTGATTAATCTTCTATGGCAAGCAAGTCGACTCGCCAAAGAAAGAATAAGACACTGCAATAGAGAAATCTCAAGAAATCTAATGGGTTAAGGTGAGATTGTGAAACTATTTATATTTCTCACTAGAAAGTCTCACGAAATCCACACTAATAGAAAATCCATTAAAATCATTAGATTTTTGAATACCAAATGATTGTTTTTCCTTTGTTTAAAATTCTCATTGAATACTAACGGATTTGGACAGATTCTAAAATAATCTTTTAAAATCCTAATCAGATACCACATGACTTTTTTTTAATCATTTAAAATCCTAATTAAATACCAATAGATTTTTGTTCAAAAATAATCTATTAAAATCCTTTAAAATATCAATTCAATATACTCTCTGATGTTAAGGTTAATGTTAATGGCTTAAGAGACAAGACAATGTGGTTTCATGGGCCACACATATTGGGATACACCATGGGCCTCTTAGTGCTCATCCATTCATTTCATTGGAGTTTGTATAACATTTACAAAAATAAAAATATAAAACTGTCTATGTATCATGACTTTGTAAAGTTATTTTGTTTTTGGATTTAAAATTATTTGAAGTAATGTTTAAACAAAAATATATTTTTATACATAATATTATTAAAAAGTCATGTAAATTTTTTTTCCCATATAGCGCTGAAATAAAAAAATACTTATAAATTTAATAATATCATAATCAAACTGATATTATAATTTTTTATTTGTTGATATCTTGAAATTATTTAGCTAAATATATTTTATAAAATTATTTATTTATTTATTTTATACAGTGATATTAATTAAAAAAAATAGAAAATAAACAATACCTAGAAATTAAAATTCATAATCACTAATAACCAATCATTTTAAAAAAAAAAAGGAAAAAGTAGACATTATTGTTAATAAACTAGTAATTATAATATTATTATAATGTTAAAATATAATAATACATTTTCAATTGGATAATAATATAATTTTTTTCATATATTTATAGGAATTAAAATTGAATTCTTTAATAATATAAAAATACATAATTACATTATATAATAATTTAAGAAGAATGAGAAAATTAAAGTCAAGAAAAATTTAAAATATCAGTTAATTGTGGGGCGATGGCACTTGAGTTGCATTTATAAATTTAAATCAAAAAATCATGTTTCCATGCCACACATGACTTCACTTTCACGCCAAACTCAATTTTTTTTTAAGATATAATTATGAATAATTAGATAATATAATAATTTTGATCATTTGGAGAGCGTAAACATGCAAAACGAATTAATACAATTTGTATAAGTATGTAGATTATTTCTACTTTTTTTCATTATCTTTAACCAACAAAATTAATATATTAGTGTAATCATCTCTCAAACTACTCAAAAGACAAAATATAAGACTCATTCTTAAGATTAATCAAACATGACTTATACATTAAATTTGAAAAAATAAATAAAAAATTGATATGAGTTATTATCTATATTTTAATAAGCTGAGCAAGGTTGGCCTTTCAATTCATTCTCATTATCAGCTGAGCCAGGAGTTTCTGAGAGAGACAAATTGATTCTTTGCCCCAGTTACACCTCCACATGTTTTGCACACTCCATTGCAAGTTGACTTGGTTTCCAAAATTTTATGGGACAAAAATGGGAGATCCAATGTTGGGAAACGTCTTCTTAGCTTCACATAGTGTTGGACTTTCTACTACTAAGCATAGTTTCACACTTTTGATGAATGATATTATAATGTAGAGTATCAAAAGGGTGTAAATATGATAGGATTAATTTCATTTGATCAATTTATGTGCGCAACCACTTGGAAATATTAAACTTCTGATTTACCATGGTCAATTTTTGGGCAAATTATTTAATGAGACTATGTTTTAATTATGACGTGTCAATCAGTAGGACATATGTCACTCAATATAAATAGCATGTAGCAATTGAACAGCATGGGCGTACACACTTGCATGTAGGAGTTGGTTGAAGTGCTTCCAACTCATCCCACAAAATCTTAAGTCGAGTGAAATAGTCAGATATTGAACTATCTCCCTGATGCAATCGATAAATGTCATCCTGTAGATCTGATATTCTGAAAATATCAGATTGTGAGAACCTCTCTCTGAGATCTCTCCACACATCATAGGCTTTATCCATCCACAAAATTGAGTAACATATGTCCTACTGATTGACACGTCATAATTAAAACATAGTCTCATTATTATTGTTGCAATTTCAACTTGTAGATCACAAGAAAGTAAACAAATAGGATGGCAAAACGGGTCGACACGAATACAAAACTGCTCAACTTGTACACGACATGTTTTCATTGACAGGTTAAAAACTCGAACCCTGACATAACCCGCTGCGGGTAGCGGGTCGACACGACATAATATGAAAAAAATTAAGAATTTATTTAATAAAAAATACCAATTCTTTTTTGAAATTGACATGCATACACATGGGTTGACGCGATACGACATGAATTGAATTTTTTAATGTGAATTATCAAACATATCTGCAATACAAGTTGACACACAGGTCACGCGCGTTAACCTGTGACACAACATTAATTCGTGTCAAAAACCCGAACCCATATATTATCCATTTGAACCTGCGGGTCGACACAACACACATTTTGGCTTGTCGAGTCACTGGTCGACCCTCGGGTCACGATGTATTTTGCCAACCCTAATGGATATGCAATAAGCTAGCAGTTTGTTACTATTGAGATTTTGTTACAAAGATGTTATTATTGGTTCTCAAATGCTTGCTTTTACATGCAGGCTGCAGCTGTATAGCTATGTTTCAAAGTCTTGTGCAAAAGAACGAGGAAAGGAATGAATTGTATAGTTTTCAGCTTTTGTAGAATTATTAATTATCGATCCTCCATGGCACTCCGCAAAATTCTAGTCATCTAACAAACATTTATCTCAGATCATTTTGTTTGCTTTAATGTACTGTTTGCATTTATTTTTCTAAGAGTAAAATTTGCAGTTTTAATTGAGCTTATTGTTTGTTTATGTGTGGTCTGCATTGCTTCATTTGGAGTAATGCATATGTTTCTCTTACAATGCTACAACCACAAGAACCTTTGCTGAGTTCAGTCTTTTAAGTTTTATCCCATCATATTCTTAGTCTTTGTTCTATTGTTCTCTTTTGTGTACACACTTGTGACCCCTTCGAGACTCTCGCTTTTTCTTTAGTTAAGGTTTTAAACTATGTGATAGTTTTATGGTAACCTAAACTCATTGATGTCTCTCCCCAAAAAACAAATAAAAAAAAAAAAAAGATTTTCATATTTTACTTGATTTCCATAGTTTTTATGTCCAATTACAACATTTGCAAATGCAATAAGCCCTGTTTCTGATAACAAAAGATATGCTGGAAACTTGACAGAACGTGTCATCGAAGATGTGGATTCCAATTTAAGTCAACGTTGATTTTTCTGATAGAATAAGAGGATTGAATCTGGAAAACCATATCACAACATTGCTAACCACAGTTAAAATACAACACAAAACCATAAGTGGCTTAAATAGTTTGGACGAGCATAGAAGTTCAAATATGTATGAAAAGCTATGAAACTAAATTTAAAGTATTGTTAAAATAAACTAAAATGACTGACTAGAATTGGAACATAAAAAAGTAGATTGTTTCAAATGTTATTGAGAGTAATAAGTCCCATAAAATCTCTTTGATTGCTTAGTTGATCAAAATGAAATTTTTTCTTTGCAAAACACAATCATGAGATCAGAATTAGACATTAAAGGGCCTGAAAAATAGTTTTTTGTTTTTAAAAACAAAAAAATAAAAAACTTGTTTGGTAACGGGTGTTCTGAAAAATGCTTCCCAAAACAATGACTCTTTTTAAGTTTTAAAAACCAGAAAACCAAAACATCCTTCTAATGTTCTCCGGCGCTATTTTTTGTTTTTTGCATTTAGGCAGTGGCAAAATCGTAAATACCAGAATTCATTAATGGCAATTTCGTAAAATTAGAACCAAAACAATTACTTTATGATGGCATTTTTGTAATTCTAAAAGTTCATTAATGGCATTTTTGTAAATAGTTACAACTTCTTTATAACTTTAATTTAACTACACTCAAACAAGTTTTTTTGTTTTTTTACTCTCAAAATCAATTTTTAAAATTCATATTTAAAACTGTTTTGAAAAACAAAAAAACTAAAACACTTTCAAACACACCCTAAGTTTTGCTGAACGCTAATAAGGAATTCCGCTTCATGTTTTACCTCACAAGTCACAATTATCCTAGTTTTTCCTATATTTTTTGTGTCATGCATTTTTTGCAAATTGTCTTTAAGGGCAGCCATCACATGATGATGATGAACAAAACCATCACAAACCAAACCTTGGTATCAAACTTTTCAAACAAACCCATAAAGATCACAACCTTAGAAAATCTTTTGCTGGTCTAGAAACAGCAAAGAGTAGAGGAAGACTATGAGGGAAATTCATCTGCTGCTATGTATGATCTATTCCCTAGCAATTGGAATTCTGACCCATCAACACCAACATTTGCCATCTTTGTTGAGTGTATAACCGAAAAAGAACATGTAGCCTCCCATACAAGTTTAGAGTAACTATAGCAATTGTCACATGTTTTACCTTATCATTTAGGAAATGTTCAACATATCTAAACCCAAAGTCTTTTACAGATCCAATTACCTTGGTGTGAAATAAGAAAAACATCAAACCTCAGAGAAATAAATAAATAAAAGGTAAAAGATTAAAACAAAAAATCAAACTAGCAACAATACAGTTCCAAAAACTAGGAGTAAATTCATATTCAATGTTTATATTTAGAAGTCTTGAGAAACTATCCTAGTGAGAATCTAAGAGTAAAATATAGTACTGCATTTGAGGATGGGTTCATGTCCATCATCTTTCAACTTCCGCCTTCAAGGTGATTCATCCTCTTGGCCTCACACTTCAAAGCAAATTAAACAACAAAACATTAATATTAGTACACCAAATAAATATAAAACTATAAGAAAAATACACAAAACATTGGTAGAGTACATGAAACAGCGACATTGCTTTCTTTGTCAAGTAAAACCAAGCTCTCTGAAAAGTCCCTCTGCTGCTGACATGTTGAACATCTTTCAACTTGCTGTTTGGCCCCCAACACTTGCACCTTGCAGACGATTCATTATCTCTCACTACAAGGGTTATATATATATTGTTAGAGTATAATATAAACCATTAAAAAGGTCATCACCCAACAGGTTTAAATTGATTCTTTACATATATAAACAACAAAACATTAATATCAGTTCCCCCAAATAAACATAAAACTATAGCACATAAAACATTAGTAAAAGTACCCGAATGAGCATCATAGCTATCTTTGTCTAGTAAAACCAAGCTTGCCTTGAAATCACTAGAACATACATTTGTTGCTTTAAATTTGATCCCAATATCCCTAATCTCTTGGCTCTTGAGATCAAAGGAACACAGTCCATATGTTTTTGATGGGAACACTAAAATCTCACTCCTTGTGCTCACTCCCCATAGCGTCTGAAACCTTTCCTTTAAGCAAAAAGTGTGAATCTTACTCCAAGACTCATGAGTCCTCATCCATATGTTAATGACATTGCTATTAGATAAAGGAAATGAGTACTGTATAAGAGAGAAACAACCATCAATAACAGTAATGTTGTACAATATTCTAGAAGGCATAGCATTCATAGTATTATTCAGCTGCTCCGGAAGCTCCATAGTGTTGAACTTCTCCTCCACCATATCAAACATCAATATGCAATCATTACGCGGAAGAGGATCAAGCGCAGGCCGGCGCGTGGCAAGCCAATGCACATTCCCATTGAGAAATGTGTGTTGATTAAATTCTTTGACAGTTAATTTGATGTGTGAGGCATTAATGTCCCTCCATGCACCTTCATTGAGGGAATATAACTCAACCTTAGGAGGATAAATGAATCTTCCTTTGGGATAATAGAGTCTCACAACCTTAAAATCATTGTTCTTGGAATCAAATCCAAATCCGTAAGAGAACATTAAACTATCATAATGTGGTGTTTCAGGTGGCTTTGGGAGTTGGAGGTGTTTACGTATGACAGGGTTCCATAGGATGATATTATAGTAAATGTTGGACAGACAAACGAGGCCGTTGGAGGAGCCTATGAAGGAAACATGTTTGTTACTATCAGGAACAAAGGATAAGATTACTCTATTGATTTTTGGGGAGTAAAGAGAATAATGCACCGTCCAAAGATCTGAGAGGGACAAATCAGAGACAAGGAAGAGAGGAAGGGAGGGTCTAGAGAGGTGTGAGAATATAAAGGAATGGCTTTTTATCATAATATTCCATGATTTGCACACTGACATGCATTTACCAATGCTTTTGAGTGGTAAACGATGGAGGATTTCCTCCACTAACTCTTGTGGAAGACACTCAAACATTGTTTAAGAATGATCAACAACTATGCATCCTCATGCTCATTAATACTGATAGAAAGCAGATAATCCTGAACAGCTTTGTTAGGATCATATGGGGGGTGTTAAAGTTACGAGTTTGAATTCAAAATTCTGTTTAATATATTCTTGTTGGAATGTTGAAGGATAACTCATGATTGTTGCAAATAGGATTTTTAGGAGATACTTTAATTAGTTGTTATTTTACTTCCACAGCTCTCGCTGATTTGTTGATTGAATTCTTTTATTATATTCTGCATGTCTCTAATTTATGACATGGCATTACAACCTTCTTAAAAGTCCCACATTGTATTTGCCCACTATTTTTTCATCCCACGCAATAACCCGATCGACCAATACCGTTTTCCGCTATTATCACTTTGTTCAAATCAATTCGTGCTCATCATTGAAAATTTTAATTTTTGAAATTCGTATAAATTCAAAAATATTAAATTTATTATTGATAATTATTGATTTGTTTTCCTTTTAACCAAAAAATTCAATTCCTTTGAAAAAAAAAAATCAAATAAGGAAAGACAAAGAAAAATCAATAATTATATTATTATTTTTAAATTAGCAGGAATTTTAAAATATGGTTTACACTTATTTCGTTATAAAGTGATATTTCAAATCCCTACAAATTTAAAAATATTAAATTCTTTATTATTTATGATAATTTAATAATTGGTTTTTTTTCCTGTTTGTTTAAAGAAATATTTCTTTTTAGTACATCAGAAGCTATTTTAACAAGAAGTCCTGATGTAGTTTCAAAGTATATGGTGAAATCTATTGATTTTGTTTCCTTGTTTCTCCAACAAATTTAATCCACTCGATTCTTTATTTTTCTGCAAATAAAAAGAAAACAAATGAATACTTGATTTTTTATTCCGGCAAATAAGAATTAATCCACTCAATACACGAATCTTGAAGCGCCCTCAGCACATCAGCTAACTGAGCCTCTACACAGTAGATTCCCTCTTCGGTTCCTCCCAATTCTTGCTTCCATCAATTCAACTGTGATCTATGTTTCTCGTCAACACCATTCAATGCGCCCACAAAAAGTGTTTTGATACCAATTTATAACAACCAAACCAAATTGTGTGTGCGCGTGTGTGTGTGATATGTGATAAAGATTGAATCAAATAGTTAGACAAAATGTTGCAAGTTGTGATGTATAAAATTGTTTTAAGTTATTTGGAGAAGTAATAAGGTAATGCAATTACAGACACAGGTGCATGGTAATTTAACTACTACACCAACCTAACAAGAAGACAAATACAACTACATGTACTTACAAAATTGTCAGTTTAAAAATTATACAACAGCAGGGAGTGCACGGGGGCACCTATATGTGTCATCCTCTGATGTGAGTAGTGGTAGGTATATCAATGTATGATCGATAGTCCACGAGTTTAAAACGTATTCTGTGGATTAACCCTTCTCCTCCCTTCCCGCTTGTAGTATGGAGTTTCGTCGATCGTTCTCCTTACATATTCTACGAATGGTTGAGGTGTCCGAGGAGACATTTCATTTGTAATAGCTGGGCTGCTTCTATCAGGAGTTGATGGTGCTGCAATGCTTGCAGTGACCCGAGCACTTGTTTGTTGATGAGATCTATCTGGTTTGTCCAAGAAACGTATGAAGATAGCAATTGACAAAATCAACAGCAGAAGACACCCCAGAATGCTTGCCCAGAGGGCTTTATTTATGGATGGTGCTGTTTCTTCAGGTTCATGGTTTATATCTATTTCCACTCTCTGGCCTGTAAAACAGATAAAAAAAAGATTAAACTTGTGGCCTCCAACATACACAATCCTCTCCATTTTTAATAAAATTTTCTAAACTGCTGATGAAAATCAAGTCATATTGAACTTCAGGAATAGGTAACCATTAGCTGGGAGTGTGATGATGATTTTATCTTTGAATCCCTTGGCTTTCAGCAGTTTGACCTGGAAACATGGACAAGAAAAATAAATACGGAAGTGTATATTTTAAATATAAAATCAGAAACATTTATTGGATGTTTCTAGTAATGGATCAGTTCTGGTTAGTTGCGAACTTTTCAGGTGACATTTTAGCATTGGGTTGCAGCACAAAGAAAAGAAACAAAAGGCTCATGGAGAATGCATCGTCTATCTAGGGGGAAAATTTTGGCTACCCTACAATAATTTCAAATTCAGATTTGAGCAATGATGAAATGCAGTAAGAGCCCTCACCTCAATTTATCAAAAAAAAAAAAAGCACTCACCTCATACCGTGCAAACCCTCCAACGCCAAAATCCTCTTTATGGATGGGACTGATCATAATCAAATCTCGGTGATGCCAGCGAATTTCAACATCTATAATCACACAGCCTAGTTTAACATTACATATGGTAGAAGACAGTGACTAAACATTTGTAGCACCTATAATCTCAACAATAAGTGAAGATGATAGCTATTGTCTTGAGGAAAATCTCCATGGGACCCGACAGAATGATTCATATCACCCATCAAATCACATCAAACTTTTTTTTCCTTATTTTTTCAGAAAGAAATAAAGGGGAACTTCTGACGAAAATATGGATAATAGGAAACAAAATGTGGTAATTCCAGAGAAAAAGATTCCTTCATAATGAAAAATTTGCAATAACACTCAGCTCATCTAATTAAAAGATGTACCGTGGTATGCCATCTTACCAGTATTTCCTAAGACGGTTATGCAAGTTTTGTTAGAGCCTGGTGTCAGATTCAGCTGCATTGAATTCTGAGGGGCAAACAAAAAAAGAAAAGTTTTAACATCATAAATCAAATTTTTGTACTTCGTTTCACAATCAGATTTCGAGGGGTTCTACTGAATTTTCAATTCAGCACATCACAGGCATAAAGGAGGGCAAATTGATCAAGACTAGATCAAGAGACCGTACCAACCAAATGGCAGGCATTCAACCTAATAAATCAAACATTTGTGTCATGCAGATATGCACTTTCAGGAGACGGAAATGAATCAAGGGATCCAATTTTGCTTTGTTACAACGACATACCTGACCCATCTCCAAGATAGAAAATCCTCCAATAAAAAGCGCTGATGCAGATCCTGAAACATGTTTACGTTCTTTAAGAGAAGCATATATTGATAGAGATATGTCTGGTCTCATGCCTTCTAACTTGGGTACTGAGTGAACCAAATGCTCCGGTGAGTAAGGGAAAAATAGGCAATATGAATTGTCAGTGTCCAAATCAAGCCATGGCTTCACGTACCTACAGTTAATGCATGTAGAAGATTTATCTAAGAATGAAATCATTATTTAAATGGTCATACCAGATAAATATGAGTAATGATAGAGATACCCCACATATGGCGGATCAACTCCACAATCGAATGAAATTCTCTTGTTTCCTCCAGGTGCACCAAGGCTTTCACCGTACGTATTGCTATTCATTCGTTAAGTCAAAAAAAGTAGTTAAAAGTGACGTTATTCAAACCATGTAAACGTCTGTAAATGTCTAGAGTTATAATTTGCAAACCTGAACTTCACGGAGAAGTTGTATCCTTTTGAAGGGTATGGAACATTAGTTAACATTTCTTTTGGAGCATCCACAAAAATATTATCTCCTTTCAATACTGTAACTGTTGTTTGCAGTTTTGATCTTGCATACTGGAAAGATACTGTTCATAATAACATATTTCAACTAGGGAGTGGTATAATTGTTTACTAAGAAAAAACACCAGACAATGACAACTACAAAGTGCATTTTCTGTACTCAAATATTACTATTCAGCACCTTGGGCTGAACCTTCCCCAATAGCTTCAGCCACCCCGGATAACTTGTCAACTGATATTACACTTCCATTTGAGGTAAACCACTGACCAGAAACATCATCACTCAGACCTAAAACATGAAGATAGAAAGACATTATCCTTCCTGAAGAAATAGTAAAAGGAAAAGAATATTAAAGTGCCAAACTCAAATTCATTCAAGCAATTGAAAATAACCGTCTGCCAGGTTTACTAAGCAAGCAAATATAAAAAGTATGTTTCCATCAGGATCCCCACAGGGTACAACATGACATGGATATGGGATGAGGAAAATTCTAAAAAATATAGGGTATATGTTTAAGTAAATATATTTTCAATAAATTATTTGTGTTAGTGCAATAAGTTTATGTGTGGTCTGATATAGTGATATGTAAGGAATGGTTTGTTGTAAGAGAGAGAGGATACTGTTACTACCAGTTTGTTTCACCGTTAGATCAATTATGTTGATCCAACGGTTATATTTATTTCCACCTTTGTATGATTATGACTTTCCATATTTAATGTGAAAATATTAAATATAGGGAGAAAAAAGAAGGCTTTTACAGAGTTAAATCAGAATCGTTGGATCAAAACATAATTGATCTAACGGTGAAACAAACTAGTAGTGACATTGGTAGTAACACTAATTGGTATTAACAATATCCTATCTCATATATATATATATATATATATAGGGTCAGGATCATTTTACACCAGTGTAAGTTACACTTTTAATCTTGCCCGTTAATCCCACTTATATCTAAGGGCTCAAATTTTTTAGTAATGTGAGCCATTGGTTACAAGTGGATCAATGGTCAAAATTGAGTGTACGATTTCTAACTCTTACACCGGTGTAAGAATATCCTGCCTCATATATATATATATATATATATATATATATATATATATATATAATAAGTAATTACCTAGAATTAAGTTAGTTATTCCCTTATTTTGGTGATATAACACAAATCCATTCCTCTGTCTTCATCTAACATTTAAGCTTTTAGAAGAGTTGTTTCGTGACATGATATCAGAACTTCTATGACTAAATGGTCTAAAGTTCGATCTTTGCTGCCTCCATTCTTCTAATAACAAAATTGAATTTTCGTGCACTGTCCACACTTCAAGCCCAAATGGCTCTTTTGGAGGGGATGTGTTAAAGATATAATATAAATCCATTTATGTGTTTTCACCTAACTGCTTAAGCTTTGGGAGAATTGATTCATGACACATTATACAACTCTACCTTCTCTTTCTTATTTGCTAGTTGCTACAATTTTCTTTTACAATTATATTCAATGAAAAATTACAGATAATATTACAAAGATCTGTCTTCTATTTTTTTCTCCCTATTTCATTGTAATTATTTAGAAATTGTTAAAAAAATTTAATGATTTTGTTTAATAGAGCTAAGTGAATGATAAATTTAGTAATTGCATTCCCAATGACAACCGATTAGTTCACAAAGGCCATTAACCCCAGCCTAAAAAGCATTTACACTGTCAGCTGCAACACGGACCCATAACTAAAAGCCATGCCAAGGTCACTGATGCATTTCTTATCCTTCTCATGAGTCCAACCCGTTGGCCAATGTTTCTAGTCTTTGATAAATCAACTTCATTCACCAGAACATGGGACTTGGTTGTTAAACCAAAAACTCCATCATCCACATGGTCTGCCTTGGACCCTGATTTTCCTCCTTTGCCTTTGATTCTAACCCTACCTCTTCCAAATTAATTCCTTGTTATACTTTCTGAGGATTGTGGAGACAGAACAGGAACATTTTCTGCTGTAGCCATGTCTAAGCTTCAAGCCGTATCTCCCATCACTAAGCCATGTCTCAGTTGTATGAGCCGAATTCAAAGTTGTAAAATAAAAAAATAAAAAATATTAATAAATAACAATAACAACAACACCTTTATCCCAAATTAATTGGGGTTAATGGTAGATGAACCCAAATGAAAGATACGAAAAGTTTGAGAAAAAGACAAAAATAAAATTTAAGTTTATATATAAAGCAGTAGACAATTAAAAGAAAAAAATAAATAAAAAAAAAAGATATTTGGGAGGACAAAAAAGAATAAGAAAGTAGGAAATAAAAAAATTAATAAAAAATAAAAGGAATATAGGGAAAAAAAGAAAAACACATAAATAAATAAATAAGAGAAAAAAGATTGAAAGGAAGAATGAAATAAAAGAAAAGAAGGAAAAAAAGAAAGAAAGAGTGGGAGATAAAGAGGAAAAGAATTTGAAAGGGACCATCTGGAACATAGGAATAAAAACGGATCTAATCCTCCACGATGCTTATTGCTTTTCTCCAGTCCATCTTAAGACACATCGTCCGTCAATCTATATCTCATTCAATTAAGTCTTGTTTTTATACCTTTCCTCAAGTATGTTTCGGTCTACCTCCACTTCTCTTTGTATCAAGCTCTTGATAACAAACTTTTGTTCTTACGGGAGCATCGAAGGGTCTTCTCATTACGTGCCAAAACCACCTCAATCTATGTTCTCTCATCTTTTCAGCCACCGGTACTACTCTTACCTTTCGCTGAATATCTTCATTTCTTATCTTATCCATCATCGTATAACTACACATCCACCTTAACATCCTCATTTCTGCTACTCCCATTTTACGTTCATGTTGCCTATGTGCTGGCCAACATTTAGCTCCATATAACATTGCAGGCCTTACTGCTGTTATCTAGAATTTTCCTTTTAGCCTAAGGGAAATTTTGCGATCACACAAGAACCCAGATGCACCACGCCATTTCATCCACTCTGCTCTGATTCTATGATTTACATCCTCATCAATCTCTCCACCTTCTTGCAAAATTGATCCCAGATATCTAAAAACATCTTTCTTAAGTACTCTTGTCCAAGCAGATGTACTGGATCTTGATCTCTATCTCTTGCTAGAGAAAACTCACACTGCATATATTCAGTCTTGCTCCGGCTTAACATAAATCCTTTAAACTCCAACATGCTTCTCCACAATTCTAGTTTTCTATTAACACCAGCCTTGGGCTCATTAATAAGCACAATATCATCTGCAAAAAGCATACACCATGGCACTTCCTCTTGAATATATTTTTTGAATATTAATAAATACAAGTTTAAAATATGCATCAACCCTGTATGCCCATCCAATACATATCTGACACCAATATGTTGCCTTTTCGATAATGTCATGAACTAACTATCCCAAAAGCTTATGCTATTAGGTAAAGACACGAGAATGGTTTTATATTACAATTCTAGCACACCTCCTCAAGCATGGGCAATGAATAGGTCCCCTACCTTAGGGCTGAAATTCAACTTTTTATTAAAGAATGGGGATGACAAGGATAGAACTCTAGACCACTTGGTCATAAAGGCTTTGATACCATGTCATAAACCAACTCTCCCCAAAGCTTAAGTTATTAGGTGAAGACACATGAATGATTTTATATCCCTAACAGATACCATGCAATAAACCAACACCCCCAAAAGCTTATGTTGTTAGGAGAAGACAATTGAATGGTTTTATTACATCACTAACAAATACAGTTTTTATAAAAATAGAAAAAAATTCATAAGAGAAGACATTATAATAATGTCGTAATCATAAATCCGATTCACTTCTTATTTGTTTCCCTAAACATGTGATAGATTGTACATCTTATTTGTTTCCATAGAAGTAATTGTTCACATTAGCCTATATATTGTAAACAGTTGTACACGAACATTCTGAATCTAAATATTATTTAGATTCAGAATTCCATCAACTAAGAATAAATTAACAGCAACCATTCACAATAGCCACACCTTTGATGCTTAAGTTAAGAGGACTTCCTATGTTAACGACTTGATTTTGAGGATATATATGGGCACCAACTCTAATCTGCAAAAAAAATTATAACAAAAGAAATTCCTGATTCAGATAGTGCAAGAGGGCAGAGGCAGAGGGGAGGCAAGATAAATACAAGGCAGAATAGTGAAGCAAAGGAGTATAACTTGCAGATAAGGATATTTTTCAAGTAGCAATGAGAAATAAAAAAAATGGTAATTGCTAGAGAAATTTAATATAGAATATAAAACCAGTAATGTGGCATTCACTGAATAGCTTAAGCTTTTGAGTTGAATTAGTACTTGATATGCTATCAGAACCTGTTTAACCAAGTGGTCTAGAGTTTGATCCTCACTGCCCTATTCTTTTAACAAATAATTAAATAATGTGAAGTTTCTTAGCATAAATAGGTGAGTCTATGCATTGTCCACACCCTTCAAACCCAATGGCTACTTGTCCAACACAGGCTTCCTTTCCCAATTAGGTCAAAAGTCAAATTGAAACTAGTTTTTCTATCATTCATTCTAATATAAGGGGCCCAAGTCGGGTCTCCATACCGTCAGTTTTAAGTATTTTGTTACCTTCGTTGATGACTATTCAAGTCTTTCTATACTGAAATTCAGAACCAGTTTGGTGGTAAGTTCATTAAGGTTTTACTTAGTGATATTGCCAAGGAATGTTTTTCCACTGTTTTTTCAACATTTTCATGGTATTTTACATCAATCTTCATGTCCACACACACCCAACAAAATGGAGTTACGCAAAGGAAAAATTGTCATCTCACTGAAACTGCTTGTACAGTGCAGAAGCCAAGTATAAAGCTATGACAATGGTCTCTTGTGAACTTAGGTGAAACAATTACTTTGGGAACATTGATCATATGATGCTATATTATGATTATCAATATGCTTTACACATTACGTCAAATCCAGTCTTTAATGAGAGGACCAAGCATATAGAAATTTATTGTCATTTCACCAGGGAGTAAGTTCTTTCCAAGTAAATCATAGCTAGCTGATATCCTCACAAAGTAATTGTTGGGTCCTCAAATACATTTCATTTTTGACAGCCTTCGTGCATATGATTTACATGCTCCAGCTCGAGGAAGTGTTGAATAGTATCTTTTAATTAAGGAAACAGATCTCATGTTTATTTGATTGTATATTTTGTAATTAATTACGTATTGATTTGATTTAATTAGATTAGATTTGGGGATGTGAGGAATTCTCAAGCCATTCACAAAAATCTTTTTGAACAACTCTAATATGCTGAAAACTAGGAATCTATATATGGTAAGAAAAATAAAATAAAATAACACCAGAAAATACTCCAGCTGAACATTTCCTATATACATATTATCAACATATGCCTAATAATTAACAATAATATAGCTATAAACTAATAAATGTGATAGAAATAAACATTAGCAGTCACAGCCGGTCCTAGACTTTAGCTGGCATAGCTGGCATTAATATAGGTCATAAGAGATCAAGGTATGTATGTAGAGCAGTAATCTACTTTTCTGAAGTGCAGGTTTTGGGCAAAAAGCAAATACTTACCAGAATGTAGTCTGATTTTTGCAGAGCTTCAGTAATTGCTATACGCACAAGAGCCTTACCATGCCGAATTGCCTTCAACATGAGTCAGTCAGAACAAGAATTCCATTAATTTACAAAATTGAGCAAAGCAATCCAGCAGATAGTAAATCGAAGTACCAGACATCACAAAATATATCTAGACTCTAAACAAATATATTTTGTTCTAATGCCATGCACTCAGGTATAGGCTCTCTGAGTTGAATCACAAGGATGATTAAAGTGAGCTAAGCCTGATCTATATAACACTACGTAGGCTTGACTTCATTTGAGACAAAAATCACATGATACACTTTACAAACAAACAAACAAAAAGATGCAAAAACAATTGTTCCAAAAATCTATGAATGTGTAAGCTGCAGGTTCTTGTGCTGCTTTATGCTCAAAATTCAAAGAACATAAACAAGCAAGAAAAATGATTTCTAGTAAAAACCCTCATCAAACCTTGATATGGACATTCCCTTTTCCATCAGCTGTTTTGTTTATGTAGAGAACATCAGGGTAGTTAGTTTCAGCATAAAAAGGCACTGCATTGTATGCTTCATAGAAAGGATTTCCTGTTGAACCACAGTAAGACACATTGAAAGATGAGTACTTTCAGTCTGAAAGATTCTTAATGTGATTTATCATCAAGGGGCCATTGATACCTAGAGCATCATAAAAGCTTGTAGGAAGATCAAGTTCTGCACCAACAGCAAGGTCAACTACATTGAGCAGAACCTCCTTACTGGCTATTCTAATTTGACTCACCTGATCATAATATAGAAATTTATGATGTGAATTACAATTTCCAAACAAATAAACATATGCCCGGAATGCAAATTACATGTTCGATAAAATAGATGTACTTATTCTGATGATACAGAAGGGCACGCAGATGTAGAAGTGGCAAATGGATGGACTGGGTGGATTTTGAATTGTACCATACCGGATGGATAAGAAACAACTATTAATCCATCTGTGATCCGTTAAAAAAACCAATCCATCCATGATCCATTTAATAAATAAAAATCCAACCCATCCATTTCAAATTACATTATATTAAAAGTTTATTTTGATATTTTTCTCTCATTGAATACTTACCTCTCTCTCTCTCTCTCTCTCTCTCTCTGATTCACACACACACTAAAATTCCTCAAAACCAATGTCTTTTTACTTTGGAGTATATATATAACCAAAACCTGAGCATATAAATACTCACATTTCATCTTCAATTGGATTTTTGTAAGTCTAATCGATTGGTTAAAAATTAAATATCCAATGGAAATCATCTACGAAAAAAATCAACGCATATCATTGTATATTTGGTTGGTTCATTAACCATCCAGTAACTTAAAATGATCCAATCCGTCCAATCCATTACATTTTCTTATTTTAATTTAATGGATTTAGATATGGATGGACCATATGGATGATGTATTAATGGACCTCTTTGCCACCCTTACCCAGAAGTGAAACACAAAGGATATGAACAACAATTCTCACCACAATAAGGCTATGGCCCACTAGCATGTAAAAAATTAAATGTAACATAGAGCAGCCCTTTCTTATCTCAATGAAAACTATGTACAAATTGGGGAATACAGGTTTAATAATCTAAATATCCATTGTGCAAAGTTAAAAGTTAACACCTATAAAAGACAGCTTGCTCTAGCAGAAACCAACCTGCCCCAAGGCTGGAAAGATGTACTCTCATAGGATTGCCAACAAGTGGCCCAAATAAACAGTAAGTGACAGATAAAATTACATACCTCAGCAACCCTGACACAAGAAGCAATCTCTGTTCTTCTGGTGGTACAATCTTTAGCTTGAATGCATGCAACACTATTACTAGCTGTTGTTTTAATTCTATCCCCATCAATGAATATGGCATCTTTCTGCAGTGCTTCATTTTTCTCCAAACTTCTCAATAAAGAATAGTTGATGGTTCCTTTGCGATTCTGACTATCAAATTGTGTACAAGACTCTGAGAATGAAGGCAAAAGGTTTGTAGTTGTATAATAGGGAGGAAGAATCCAGGTAATTGGGACTCCCAAAGCCAGGGGAAGATCAGGAACCACTGTTACTGATAAAGACGAACTGTAAAACCTTGACTGTGTCTTTGACCCAGAAGTTGAAAGCTCACAGGAGAACGACAGAGCAACATTGGTCTTGCCTGCAGATCTGGAAAAAAATAGTATTTTATTATATGATCCTCTATTCTATGTTTCAAATTGTTTATGTTGAGATATATAGTCCCACATTGGTTGTATGAGCAACTAATGTGGAGTTTATAAGGCCTTGGGCACTCCCACCCTTCGAGCTAGCTTTTGGGGTAGTGTATCCCAAGGTTCTTTACATGGTATCAGAGCCTCGTGTCCCGGGTTCAAACCTCGCCGTCTCCCACTTTCTCTTGTGGAATTTCTTAGCACAAGTAGGCTGGGCATGTTGCATCATCCACTCTTCAAGCCCAATGGGCTCTCGTGTGAGGGGGCGTGTTGAGATATATAGTCTCACATTGGTTATATGAGCAACTAATGTGGAGTTTATAAGGCCTTGGGCACTCCCACCCTTCGAGCTAGCTTTTGGGGTGGTGTATCCCAAGGTTCTTTACAGTTTATAATAATTTATAAATTGGTCATGCACACTTCTATGTTGCCTCTTACAAGGAATTTATTTCAGCAACATCAAGAAAAAAATGAAACTACAGAAAACTAACATAAAGATTGAAAAGACTCTGTGCCAATTACATGTGACTACTGAAAGCATAATAGGCAGTTGAACGGAAAAAATACTAAATATTATTCCTAGAATATTCATGAACAAATGTTTACAATATTTAGACTAATGTGAATAATTGTTTTCCTAATAAAAAGCTGATTTTAGGGAAATAAATACAAAGCAAATCATACCTATAATCAGTCACATATCTTTCCTATGATCTGTTTAATAAAAGGGAAAAATGAATATATAATTTGTACTGGGAGGTCGGAGCAATTATTGAAATTCAAAAGACGTAAGTGTGATTACGCATATTACATATTTATCCCATGCTATTATTCTTAATAAAAATGTTGCATAAATTCATACCTTCCATACAAGACGTTAATAAAGCCAAGGTCATTCTCATCCAAATAACCACTAACGTGACTTTCTTCTGAATCAGTAAAGTGGATCCCATATTTTTCAACATGGAAGCTCTCAGCCACCTTAAAACTCAATACCTAAAGAAACAAAGCAAAGCCAAAATTCTTTAGACTATCTTACACCTTTGAGCATGATTTTTTTATGGAAAAAATCGATTGGCTGAAAATATATGGAGCAAGGAGAGATAGATTATCTCTTGTTTTAAGCTCGGGGGAGGGGATGGTAGGAGCTTGGAAGCTCATGCTCATGCTCATGCAGTTTATTTTCTTAAGGTTACGAAAAGGTTCATAGTATCTTTTTGGCATGATTTCTGGTGTGTCGAAGTTAAAGTTTCTGCAAAGTTTGTTAACTATGGTAGCAGGTATACCATCTTTGGTAGGTGTTTTACTCAAGGTTGCGAATGGAACTGTGCATTGGAAGGATCTGTTGATAACTGTTGAAATAAGGAATTAATTGTGGTGCCTTGGCGTTATATGCAAGGGATGGTGAGACAGATGATAATTAGCAGTTCCAATACTAGCACCACAAAAAGGGTGTGGCATTTGAGAACTATTATGTTGCTGGAGATGCAATTCAAGTGCTACAAAGGGTCAGTGCCCATAGAGAACACTTCCCGCCTTTGTTGTGTGGTCTATACATAATTTGATGGGAAAACTCAGATCTAACAGAAAAGACAAGCTTCAGGAGGAGTTTTAAGAGCTTTATTTTCAATTAGTTGTTTATTTAGACCATAACACACTTTCCTTCTGATTCCAGTGTGTCTTAATTGTTTTACTTAAATTGTTAAACTTTTGTGCAGTGTGTACTTGAGTTGCACACAGGTTGTGCTTCTTAATGCATTTATTACCTATATAGAAAGGGCAAAACCTGGTATGGATATGAAAAGATAGATTTGAAGATAAAGCCAAACCTTTTCATCTTCAATAGTCCACTGGTAATTTTTACACAGCTCATAGAAAGAAAATAAGTTTCCCTGACAATACCGAAAAGATTGTCAATATTAAGATTGAAATACACAAATGAATGGAAACATTTCTTTTTTTTATTTAATTTATCACCTCAGGAAATAACGGATAAATTGGCAATTTACGGCCAACCCCAAGTTGTTCACTCTGCACATACAATGTGACAGTAGATGGAACTCCCACCCTTAAAATGCTCCGTGCTTTACAAATCACAATATTTCCATGGGCAAAGATGCTGGCAAGAATTGTCTGTCAATAGTAATGATGTCTTGGATTAGAATAATATCTTCCACAAACCAGATATTTTTTAATGTAAAATGAATAATGCACTAACTGTTAAAGAAATAAATATGACATGGTTTATTGAAGCAAACAATTGGACTAATTAGCATGTGTTGCATCTTTTATTTTTATTTTTCTTTTTTTTGAAAAAAGAAAAATTTAATAAAAGAAGGAAAGGAAAGAGTACATGTGCAGAAGATATGATATACACTCGCAAATCAGAAAAAAGGCTATGGATGGCAATGCTCAACTCTAATGTTAGAACAACTTTAAATCGACAGTTGATACTAAAAAAAGGGGTTTAGATATGGCAAAAATGAGGTTGGACAAAAACAGGTCAACCCAACAGACATGAATCATAAACATGCTGAGTAAAAGGTTGAACCATGCAACCGGAAATTGACCCTTTTGTTTAAATTGGTATGGCAAAAGGCCAAATCTCCTAAAAGCTTAAGTTATTAGGTGAAGACCTAAGAATGGTTTATACATCTCCATCACATGAGCCTTGGGCTTGAAGTACGGATAGATATCTTATAATATTATGATTATATCTTAAAATAGTTTAGAGTATCCTAGATGGTCTCTTAGGATTGATTTCCATATTTCCTTATATTTCATGATTTCTTTCCTTATTAATTTTATTATTCTAATTATTTGTTTTCCTCCCTTTATACATAAATCTCTATAATTTCAAATGAGACGAACCAATTTAAGGATTCTGGAGAAGATAGAGATAATGAGAAAAGCCCACTAACTAAAGAGTGAAACAGCACTGACAATAGTGAGGTGGACAGATAGAGAACCGGTGCCTAATCTGAAGGAAGATATTTTGGATGTATAAAAGCAGGTAGTTTGTGCCAGACAATCAGCTAAACTATGCATAAAAATTGAATGGCTACGTTACATAACAAATTATAAATAAACATAGGTAAACAAAATAAGGAACAATAATAAGTCTGAGCAGGATTTCACATCTTACAGTGTTCCCAACAGAAATTGCTGAGAGCCGTCCAGAATATCTATCAATACTTGCAATTTTATCATTTTCAATTGAATATTCCACATGAACACCGAGAGTTGGGCCTCCTTTCATGGTAAGCTAAGAAAATAAAAAAATAAAAATGGTGTCATCATAAAACCAAAAAAATGAGAGAAAACAATAGTGTAAACTAAGTCACACTAGCCCAAGATCACACGACCAAAGTGTGAAGATAAACATCAAAAAAGAAAGCACTAAAAGATGTAGACAAGAGAAAAGTGTAGAAAAAGGACTTATTAACAAAAAACTGAATTACTTCACTCGGCTTGACTTGCTCAAGAACAAGGTATATATTTATAGGCTCCTAAGATAATTCTAGACCTGACACAACAAAGCTAACCTTGAAACTAAAGACAAATAAATTCTAGGTGACTTATTGGAGGTACAAAGGTATGATGAACTTATTAGATATGTGAACCATAAAGCTAGAAGTAAACAAATGAACCTTGAAATATTAAATTAATTTTGGAGAACTTATTTGTCCAAAAAAAAAAAATCAACTTTTCCATTTCCAACGGAAAAATAAAACACAAATCAAAGAGAAGAATGTTAGTGTATGTATTTCTTTCGAAGTTCACATTAGCAGTCAAACTTGTACTAAAGAAACAACACTTGCGCAGTGGAACATACCATATACGACGCACCAGGAAGCAGGAAAATATCAAGAGGGTTTATTCTTGGGGCTGCATAAACTTCCACTTTAATAGCTTGACTTTGTATTACATGTCCCAAATGTTGCGTAGCACTGACCTGGTTTCAATAAAAAAATATTAAGCTATGAGTTTTCGAAAGTCTATAAAAAACTTTGAAAGAAATTAAGGTCAAGATTATAGAGGTTGACAATTGACTTACATAAAGGGTTGTAAATCCAAGATGTCTCCCCTTAATTTTAAAACTTGGTGCATTAACATGTCCACCAACAAGACTTGAGAAGTTGTCGGTATCCACCAGCTCAATTATACTATCCTCAACATGTACATGAAGATTCATGTAAAGAAACTGCATTAAAGTTTCCAATCATTAAATTGCAACTCAAAATAAAAAACCTCACTATGACACGTTCCTATAGGTGAATATTGGGAAGATAATATCCAGAAAGACATAAAAAAATGTATAAGATAAAAGTCTTATTGACCATATTCAAGGCAGTATGGTTACATCTATGTCTCACAAGATCAAATTAAAGCAGGCCAAGCACAAGAAACTGGAGTGCAGCTCCTAAAATTAAATAGCGAAAACAATGCAAACCTGAGAAGCGTGAAAAGTGCTTCCGTCATTAGTACCAGCCAATAAGTCAATAGTTTGCAAACTTCCTTCCTGTAAAGATCAGAATAGCATATCATGAAGAAAAAATACTAGGTTGGACATATATCCACTTATCACATTTAAAAAAGACAAAAAAAGATCAAAAAGCAGCATGCCAGCTCATTAAATACACACTGGAGCAGCTAAAAAAACTTTGGGGTTTAAAGCATGGCTTATTCAGCTACAATTAGTGCCCAAACTCAACCGTTTTGTAACACCAATCGGCACAACCATCTTCCTCTTTGTTACAGACTAGTTATTTATATATGTACTTAATAGGTTATTCTGTATTATTGGGCTGAGATTGTCTTTCTTGTACTGATCTTTGATAAACCTTTGGTTTACCATGTTTTTAGGCTAAATTATATGAGAAATATATCATAGATTGCATGGAATTCAAGGTTTTAAGACATTTAAGTCATAAGATAGGAAATTGAGCTGACCTTTGGATAATATTAGCATTTTGAAGGTAAAACCACAAGAATTGGTGCTAAAAGTGCTAAAGAAATCATGACAAGGAAGTATATGGACCAAGGAAAGCAAAAATGATACAAGTCAAGGGCCAGAAGAGCACGCTCAAGCGCGCTAAGGCAGGAAGAACAACCAAACTGGACAAGTTAGGGCGCTCAAGCGCCCTAAGATGACAAGATTTCACTCTCGAGGAGCACGCTCGAGCGCTCCAAGACAGACAGCAATATCAAATTGCAGTAGATTGGCACGCTCAAGCGCCCTGTAGCGCGCTTGAGCGCCCAAGCACGTTCCAGACAGCAAAGATTCATCAAGATTTGCTAAGATTTAATGAAGATTTGTCCAAGTAGGATATGGAACTAAAGCGGAAACATATCAAAGTTGATTCCTGAGAAGATTGAAGGAAGATTATAACAAGATTCAAAGCTCAAATCTCTCAACCAATCCACAAGATATTAATTGCAAAAAGGAAACAATTGGATAATCAATTACAAATCTAATATGGATACGGCAAGAGATGCAATGAAGGATACAACCTCCAATGGCTATAAATAAAGAGCTTGGGGTCAGAACCAAAACACCAATTCAGAAACCAATTAACAAGTTCAGAGCATTACACCAAGACCTGAAGGAGGAATCCTGTTGCGGAGCGCTGGAACACTGAGGAACCAAGTCAACATCACCAATGGAGGCTTGGGGTTCTCTTTTCTTTATTATTTCTTTTCAATTCAGTATGCTAGAGTAGTCTTTTATGTAGTTAAGGGTAGATGGAACCCAATTGAATCTTTATGTTTATGAATTAAATTGTCTCTGAATCCTGTTCTTTTTATAATTGAATAAATTATCTGTTTTTAATGCTTTCTATGAGTTTGTTCCTTATAGAATGATTTTGGGGAATTGTATGACAATAGGGATGTTGGTGCATGAACCCTGACTTGATAATTTATCATAATCCTTGTGATCTAGGAATAGGAATAGGAATAGACATAGGGTAATTATGCAATCTTGTGATTCTTGATCTTAATGCATGTTTTCTTGGGGAATAATCGGGGAACTAGAGTTCTTTCAAGATTACATAGATTTATGGTAACAAAGAATTGAGCCGTAATTAACTCAGATAGAATTGATTGGCAATATATTAAGAAACGGATTCTTGACTGCTTAATTCATAACATATTGAAGATATTGGGGAAAGTCGAAACCTTAACTACGCTTGTTTTAAATTCTTTAATCAATCATTATCTTTTCATTCATTCTTTTTAATTCTAAATTTTCATATTGCACGCCCTTACTTGTTTTTAATTTTAAGTTCTTTGAACCACAACTCTTTTCATCTAAATTCTCTCAAACCAAACCTTTGATTGTCCAACTAAAACGCAATTAGCGAACTAGTGCTTGAAATTCTGATCCTCGTGGGAACGATCTCGTACTCCAGTACGCTTTTATTACTTAACGATCGGTGCACTTGCCGAGTCGCTATCAATCTTTAATAACAACAATTAGTCATTCCTATTCGTATTCTCTTGATTTTCTCTAACACTCTTCAAATGGGCTGTAATTTATTTTTATTTTTTTTTGCTTTGTTGCACCATTAGCAGAAGACAAACCAATCTATCTCAAGAGAAAAATAAAGAGTATTTGTGGTCCCATTCATCTCGGCAAGTAGTAAGGGTCATTCTGCTACCATTGAAATTGACATGATTTTTATCCAACTTTGTGCTCTGGAGAAGATCCAGTTGCAAAAAAAAACAATTATATGATGGTACAGAATCACATCATTAAAATTATATCAACAATTTAAAACTTTTATGTCATGTATGGATTAATTAAGTTTATGAATTCAATTATCCTTCCCCTCCCAACCCAACCCCACCCCCAAAAAAAAAAAAGATTTAGATGAAGTTTGACCCTGACTTATATCCATAACAGTAAGCATTTTTCATCTGGGAACTATTGAAAAAATATTCCTTCCTCATCACCAGTTAAAGGGAATTTATGTAGAATGCAATAAAGAAGACTTCCCATTCATACAAGTGGCAGCGTTTATCCTTATTTTAACTAATGTTTTCATCTCTTCCTTACCTTAAAAGTCAGAAGATCCAATTTCTTCCACACCCAAGCCTTATATTTTCACTCTCCCAGGTAGAATGCAAGACAGGTTGAGTTCTCAGTCCTCATCAGTCAAGGAAATAAAGAAATTGTTATGTTTAGTAAGTTGATTCCATGTGGTTTCATAAGAAAGAAAAAATCCCCAAAAGTTTGTTAATAGTGTTAAGGAGTAGAGATGTATGATCAATGAGCTCGATGGTAGATTAAATTTTTCTTATTTTTTTCTTATAAAATTTTAATATAAGCCAGGTTTGAGCAGGCTACAAAGGTGATATTCAGCTTTCTTTTGGTCTTTTCATTTCTAATTGTTTTTAGTAAAGACAATTTTGTGTTGGATATGTGTCCATCCAATAAAATCTCAAGTTTAAGCCATTTTAGACCAAAACACAAGAATATTTTCGAAAAGACATACCATTAAGCTAATCTCTTCTCCAGATATGATCTTAATCCACTCTATATCTGCAACTTGGACCTGTAACAATTAACCATTATAAGCATCACACATTAAACAACAACACTTAATTATCATACATACACCAAGACCCAGTTGTGTTGCATTACAGAAAATTAAAACATGCAAATTTCAAATCCTATTGACACTGGTGGGCAATAACTTTTTGAACTCTTACTACAAGTCAATAAATTTTCCTTCCAAGATCGCAAGCTTTAGTCTCAAAATTGAGGTCAAAATTAGATATGTCCATATAGCCTGCATTTTGTTATTTTTGTCCAAAGAGCAGCTTCTTACAAAAAAGTAAAGGGTATGAACCAATTTGCAATTATAACTTTTTCCTATACTAAACTAATAATCAGCAGACAAGGGAAATGATATTTCCAGTATGCGGGAAATGTGTTACACTAAAATCAATGAAGAGATTTGGTATTGATATTTAGGTCTGGATAACAAGACACAGAAGTTTATGGCTTGCCAGACAAAAAGAGTCAAAAGCATGCAGGAAGAAATGTGAGTTGTTTGGCATTAATCATGCTAACAGACAAGAAACATTAACAATATGTATTTGAAAAATCATCTTATTGATCATCAAACTGAGGTTGGGACATCAAAACCAAGCATTTTCCTTAAATTTCAAGCAATTCAAAATTGAGAGAGAAAGGAAGCTTACAAGTGCAGATGCTCTTAGTGGAGGAGTTAGCCCAATGTCATATAAAGTCAGATTAGCTGTCCCTAATCCTTTAGGGGACAAAATTAGTTGTAGGCATTCTAATCCTGATGGTGGTTGAATAACTTCTACAACTTGAGAATTATTTGTAGCAGCTTCCAATAAACAGCTCCCACCAGTAATTGACAAATTTACCTGGAGGCAGACATACAAAATAGTCAAAAGCCCTTAAGTTCTAATTAAAAAGCATTAAACTTTAATTTTATGAACAAATAGCATTAAGACATATCTGCATCACAAAGATGTTCAATAAAATAAAGTTTGTCTAAAATGTATGACAAAGCCCTTCCTTGGGAGGGTGTAATAAAAAAAAATAAGTTGCTCCAACTCAAATACACGCCATAAAACTAATAATCAATTGTCTTGGTGAAAACTAAAAAGGGTTTTGACTCAACCATTTCTGGTGATTTAGCACATTTTAAATTGATGGCTATAATTTTATAATCTAAGAGTTACCCATGCTCTTCTACTTCCAAAGAGTAACGTATTCACTTCTCTTGGTTTCATGTAACAGTATTATATATAGGCTCATGAAGGGTTCAGACGTAGTTATATTAATTACATTGCCCATCAATTGTAAGTGTTAATGTTCAAATCTAAGACAAATCTATTTTTAACATGGTAATTTCACTTAAGATGAACAACAAAAGTAGCTGAGCTAATTCACTAATATACATCCTTGAAGGTAAAATAATTCTATCAAAATATGCAATCATATATCTTTTTTACAGGACTACTAATATATAGTGCAAAGACCTATGCCAAAACTCCAAAAGTTCTGTTTTCATTAAATTTATAATTAGATTGCAGCCAACCAGAAAATAATCTGGCAAAATATTGCTCCAACAGGATTGAGCATCATGAAGCCTTCAACAGATTATCAATGAATAAATATTGATAAAATACAGCCATGATCTGGGTAAATCATACTTATCAATAGCTCTATTGCAGAGAAGCACCGTGGAGTGGCCTCAGGCTGCTATCCATTCATCTCCGCAGAGCATTTTCAAGCAATTTGTTGGTTATTTATGTGATTTCCCCTTAATTCACATCAGAAACCCTATGTGTTTCCGATTTGGGACTAAACAAACCCTTCTTTCATGCTCGTATTTGAAGTTGAGACCCAAAAACACAATTAAGGCTGACCTCCATTTCCGGCCACTGATCACAGTTCTCCAGCAGCATTTCCAGCCAAGCCTCCTTTCATGCATCACAGCACAACCCTACTTTGGTCTGCCCTTTGATTCTTTCTGTGTTCTGTTCAGACAGGTAGTCTCGTGTTGTGTTCTTTTAATTTTCAAAGAGGTCTCTATTTTAATTTTCAATTTCAGAGAGGTTTGCCCCATTTTTTCCTTTATGTTCCTTTTTTTTTAATTTCTCTATCGGTTCATCAATTAATCAACTAATCCGGTCGAGCAGAGCAGGATCACAAGAACGGAAAAACTCTCTCTACCAAATTTTTAACACAACTGCATACCCAGGACTCGAACTAAAGACCACTAGTTAAGCTAGAACAACCCCTTACCAATTTATCCACGTGCTTGGTGGTATTATGTTCCTTGACTCAAGTTGTTATTGGCTTGAATGCTTTGCTTAAGACTAACTTTTGATTATTAATTATGAATATGTGTTTAATTTAGGTAACTTTTTTTTTAGCATTTATATATTGTAGTATAAAATATTTAACTTGTGCTAATAATCTTCAGTATATATGGCGGCCATCCTGCTATAGCAATTTTGGTGTCAGCTGCTACGTGCTACTACCCAGGATTGATAACTATTGAGGTAAATAAGGGAAAACCTATCCATCTTTTCTTAAAAAGTAAAAAAGCAAACCAAGAGTGCAGCCAATGAAAGTTTGATGTTCATACAAAGAATTAATAATTCTGGGCCCCTCTAAGGTTGCCCCTCAGGTACGGTCAAGAAGCATTGAAAATCTCTAAAAATACTGGTGTTACCTTAGCATTAGGATTGAAATATATCAAGTTGAACTCTGGATCAACTCTTAGGGTAGAAACAAGCTGCATTGTTGCACCAATAAAAAGATAAGACAGCTTCTCAAGATAGAATAACAACAATGAGAACATATAGATGCTACAAAATTCCATCATAAAGAGCAGAGCTGAAGGGAGAAGAAGCAGAACTTGACCATCACACTAATAAACTAACCGATTTTAAACGTGAAAAGTAAAATAATCAATTTCATATTGAAGAAAAACTATTTCCAAGATATAGTACCTGTAAGCGAATTGCATCTGTCAGTACATTTTCAGTTTCATGAAACCGATGATAAGTATCATCTACCAAGCTCTCAGGAAAGCCAGTAACAGTAGCACGAACAATGCACTAAGAGAAAGAGCGTTGAAGGTCACTTTAGTCATCCATACATTAAAACAAGATAAGTAAAATAATGTCATCATTTTCTGACAAAAGAACTAGCAATTAGGGGAAAAATTACATCAATGTTAGACAGCAAGATACATCACAAAGGACCCATTAAAACTTATTCAAAGTACTACACTGTTATTGCAACAACTATCTATAAGCATAACTTTGATAATAAAAAGACAACAGTCCTATAACATGCCTGTTAGAATATCTAGGAAACATCTTATAATAACATTATTGCATCTTAGAATATCTTAAAGTATCTCAGATGGTCTCTTATGATTAGTTTCCATATCTCCTTGTATGTCATGATTTGTTCCCTTATTTAATTAGGATCAAGATTCTAGTATTAGTACAAAAAGGGGTGAGTGCTTATCTTTTGTAACACATCCTACACACCAATATCAATACAACGTTTTGTCTACATCTCTCTTTCCTCTCTATACTTCCTTCCCTACCTACACCCCTACAATTTCAACATGGGATCCACCTTGAGCATAGTTTCTACTTTCAACTGTGTTGAGTTCATGAAACCCAATTATCATCAAACCCATATTTTGTGTTTTTGTTTGCTTCTAATCTCTCTTTTGCAACTTTTGCCATATTGACTTTTTAGTTTTTGTTAGAGATATATAAAACCATTAATGTAGCCTCATCCAAAAGCTTAAGCTTTTGGGTGGAATTGGTTCTGTACATGGTATTAGAGCCTCTATGACCAAGTGGTCACGGATTTGATCCTCACCCCCCCCCCCCCCCAAAATTTTCTCTTGTGGAATTTCTTAGCACAAGTAGGTGGTCCTATGCATTATCTACCCTTCATGCCCAGTGACCTCTCGTGTAAGACGGCGTGTTAGAGAAGTATATAAATTATTGATTGACCTTCACTTAACAACTTAAACTTTTGGATTGAATTAGTTATTTACATGGTATCAGAGCCTCGATGTCACGGGTTCGATCCTCAACGCCCCCATTTAATTAATAATTAATTAAGTCTTGTGGAGTTTCTTAGCACGGGTAGGCTGGGCCTAATGTATCATCCACCCTTCAAGCCCAATGGGCTCTCTCTCGTGTGAGGGGCATGTTAGAGATATATAAAATCATTAATGTAGTCTCACCCAAAAGCTTAAACTTTTGTATTGAATTGATTCTTTACAGTTTTCAGCTCTTATTCAGTTGCATCTCCTTTCTTCCATCTGACTTCTTTTCGCAGATTGGTTCTGTTTTAGCCTATCTTTCCATTGACTAGCTCAGTTTTATCTTGTCTTGCCGTAGACTAGCTCATTTTCATCCCGTTGCTACAAACAGGCTGCATTCATCCTGTCTTGCCGCAATCAGGCACCATTCCAGCCTGTCCTTCCAAAGATTAACTCTCGTCTCCAGTTCCATATGCAGTCTGGCCCAGTGTTGTAAAAACGTAGTGTCGAAACGTAGAAACGTATCGATTCTACGTTTTTATGACACAAAACGTGTTGAACCGGTAGTAGAAACGGATTTTGGGCCGAAACGGTTGAAACGTAGTGTCAACTCGTAAACTCGGTTGAAACGTAGTGTCAACTCGGCATTCATTTAACCATTTTTTTTTAAATTTGAAACTAATGACTGAATGTCTGGGGATTAGGTTTTTATCTTGGGCCTGAGCTATCGCATAATTTGTGTTGTTGTAATCTGCAATGGCAACTTGAAGTCTAAATCATTTTTTTAATTTGGCTTTAAACACACTTTAACTTAATTAATCGAAGCATTGCAGATTTTCTTTTTTTTCATAATATCTGTTAATTGCAATTGCTGTAATAATTAACAGATTAGATTTAAATTATCCTACTTCCACCTTTTTTTATTTTATTTTCTTTAGTGTTTAAACTTAAATTTGTGATGACTTATGTATTGGTGTATTTTGGATATATATATATGGGTTTTATAATTCTCATTTAACATGAGAATTCAAATTTTCCTACACACCCTTCGATTTCCGTGCTGACATGGGTCCTACATATAATTTTTTCTAACACATGGGTCCCACATGTTTTTTATTTCTACAACATGAGAATTGAATTCTCATTTAACATGAGAAAATCAAACCCCTATATATATATATATATATATGTGTGTGTGTGTGTGTGTGTGTGTTGGATATATTTTTTTAGTAAGTAATAAACTCTTACGTTTCACGATTTTACGTTTTTGCTCACCCCTACCGTTTCTACGTAGACTCTACGTTTTAACAACATTGGTCTGGCCTCCATCTCAAGTCCTTTATGCAGTTTAGCCTGTATCTCCAATCCCAAATGCAGTCTCGCCTCGTTTCCAATCCCAGATGCAATCCATCCCCATCCCTTAGTAGTCTGCCCTCAACTGTTTTATTATAAATACACTTCTGCCAAACAAGTAAACTCATTTTGAACTAATGTAAACCCTTACTTAGATTGTGGGGGAATTTGCAAACTTTAAAACAATGACTACTTTTATGTAAGCTAATTTCAAAAGCTTATATCTAATAAAATCACTCCACATTAAACCCCAACTAGCGAGTGTAGGGGTCGGTCGGGGTTTAATGGGGAGTAACTTTATTAGATATAAGCATTTGAATTAGCAAACATAAAATATCAACGAAGCTTATAGAAAAACATAAAAGCATTATAAAACATAATTTATAGAAGAAATCCTTGTCAGAAGCAATCTCTATAAAGTTAACAATAAAAATCTTTAAGCCAATTAAAAGTAAATAATCACTAACCGGATAACAAAAATACTATCCAATGCATGTCTCTATACTTAAAAAACCAAAAAAAACCACTCCCCGTTAAACTCGACTAGCGAGTGTGGGGTGGAGGAAATCCTTGTACGCAACCTTACCTTTACATAATTGCAAAGAGGCTGTTTCCTGGATTCGAACCCATGACCTTTCAGTCATAAAGGAACAGTTTTACCACTGCTCCGGTTCGCCCCCTTTTAATACCTGTCTCTATACTAAAAAACAAAAATCAAACTATGAAGTATTGATTTACAGATCACAAGTTATAAAAATTTAAATACTAATACAGTAACATTATTAGTACTAAGTACAAGTAGGGCATATATAAAAAAAATAATGTTCAAAGGCAAGCCAAAACAAATTAGTTTCTGGGACAAGTTTTCACATGCAACACCAGTTATTAAATTACTGGTTGTCAAAAGTTGTAATAAGGCCAAACAGTAAATAAAACGACAAATTGTTAGAAATCTTTCAGTACCAATCCTGATTCATTTTGCAAGACCAAAAATCTCTCCCAATTGTCTGACTTCGCAATATCAAATGCATAATGCCAATATGCTAGTCCATCGCAACTGCTAAGTTCCCACCTCAAACTGAGAGAAGATGAGTTTGCAAAAGCTTCTCCAGAATCACTTATACCAGCTGCAGAAATCCGAATAGCACGCCCATTTGCCACAGTAACTGGGGCATCGCGAAGTCGGCCTGAACTACGTTCAGCTTGAGCCGCCGCTCTAATAATTTCGCGTTCATTCACTGGAAAGCACAATTCACTTTAGAGATAGAAGATCTGAAAAATTATGATGTCAATGACTAAAACTGTGCGAAATGATGATTACCCGGTTCATCAGCTATGAGTACAATAGAAGAAGGAATGCTACACATAACTGACAGCCAAGCTTCATCTACTGAAGGCAGAGGATGGTCATCCCCAACTAAGTTTCCACGTCTGAAAAGAAGTTTCTGAGTCATTTGAAACAAGAAAAGATTGTTATTTTCCAATTTCTATGTCATCATAAATATAATAGGAAACATTCTACCAAGAAACAAATACTTAAACTTACAAAGGTTCCCAGTGTTTGACATAAAACTCCATACAAACTCCCGTAGCTTCCAGATACCTGATGCACAAGAACTCCATCTTTAGCCAGGGCATTCTCTTCATCCAAGACTTCCACAGTTTCAATGAAATCAACACCTTTGTCCCACTTTTCAGGTCCACCAGCAAGTAATATGTCTAAATTTGTCCCAGGGACAAGATATAACTCCTTTAAGCTATGTGATTGCTTATTACTTTCTGCTTGAGCCAAGTCAAGCCAGTAACCACCAAATTGGTTTCCTTCACCTGCCTGATATACTATAAGGGGCAGATATGCCGCAACACGTAAAGATGCTTTTAAGACAACAGGACCATGACTGTTTGGGTGATATTCTTTAGAAAGTATGGCATGGATCACAGCTTGACCAGGATTAGAAGCATGTATATATGTCCAAGAACAGGGAAAGACATCAGCTAATGAAGGGAGCTGAGTATTTGGCACTGTTTCCGAGTATGACAACTCCTGACTTGCATTGACAATTACAAAAGATTCACTTCCAGCTTTCCACTTTATCAAAGAATTAAAGGCATCGCATCTATAGAAAAAGGCACCTGCACATGACACATCAACATAAGAAAAAAAGTCGAGCAGTAAAATGGAAAAGAAACTTTCAATATCGTCGAATATGGTGTCACCATTTACTGCTTTCAGTGTCACAGCAGCTTGAAGATGTGATCCAACAACAGCTTCTACAGGAAAATAGTGAAGCATAACCATAGAAGATGGGATGGAGACTTCAACAAGGACCTATAAGAAAATACAAATTACAAATAAGAACAATGTACAAAGTGTATAGACATCCAAAACAATTTGAAATAAAATTAATGTACATGCTATGCATGGATAGAAAACAGACAAATGGCACAAAGAGTGTAGTCAGAAAACACCTCTCAGAACATTTTATAATAAGAAAACATCCCACTATCATCTGAAATTAAACCAGTCTCTTTGCATTCTGATTCCTCCTTTCCCTTCTTTTACAGAAAAAACTCACTAGTGTCTTCGTGATAGCACAATCAAACCTCTATGATATTATTCAATGAAGAGGATAAAAAACAGATGTATCATAAATCATTGTCACGAACCAACTATTTTAAAAGCTTAATCTTTAGATGAAGACACATAAATGGTTTAAATTTATATCTTTAACACGCCCCTCCATCCCTTTTTTCAACCCCACCACACTACACAAGAGTCCATTGGGCTCAAAACGTGGATATTATATAGGCCCACCTACCTTATGCACAAATTCCCGATTTTTTATTTGAAGAATGGGAGCAACAAGAATTGAACTCTAGACCACTTGGTCATAGAAGCTCTGATATCATATCATGAACCCACTATCCCAAAAGTCTAAGCTGTCAGGTGATAAAACGAGAGTGATTTTATATTACATCTCTAACAATCATGACGTCTCATTGTTGTCTGAAATCAGATCAGCATCCAAGAACTTGTTGAAGTCAATAAAGTGGCAACAAGGTACAAACAGGACATTTGGGACATAATAGCAGAACAAATACCGACTGCATGATTGAGGAACGACCGTTTTAATAGTGGATCCCATCAAACTACATCAGAAACCCTCAGAAGTATAAACGACTTCAAAAACAATCATTGGCTTATAACCCATCTCTGGCTTGCCCAATCTCACCTTGGTTGACTCCAAGTTGATTCTTGACCTGTTCATTTGCCATACTTCAAAGTTGAAACAATGGATGAAACAAACCCTCCAAAGAGATGAATTCAAGTTTCAAGTCTACACAGAAACCCTATGGTCAACAACAAAGGAAAACTTTGGACAACCTGGAAGGACCACTGAAATAACAACCCAGCTCCCTAAACACAAGATAACAAGCCAACCAAAAACAGCCAAAATCACCCCCCTCCCCTACCTGACATGTGAATGCCTAGGCCACCGGCAATCCTTTCTGCAACTCTCCAGATTGCAACCTGAAGCATGTGTGTGACTAGCAATCAAACATCAGTCTCCACAAAGCAGAACTAACAATGCCTCAAAAGAACAAGGGAAGGGATCAACCACTGAGAGAGATGGGATCAACCGAAATGAGACAGAAAATTTAGCTAATCGATTTTATTTAATTGTTTTTTTGGAAAGATAAGCAATATTCAGGCTGCTAACCTGGGTTAGAATCTACCTATAGATACCATTTAGAAAGGAATAAAGAGAGAGACAAGGAAGAAATGAAGTGTAATGTGATGCACACGCGAATAAAGAAGATTTAATACAAGTGAAGTACAATTTAAGTACAGTATGTATTACAGGCCCAGCCAACATGCTAAACACGTACATATTACCACTCACAAAAAATTGTTCTTGCATTCAAACACCATACCATATATCATAGGAATAGATGCAAAGCAATGATGCAAAGCAATGATTTGGGCTTAAGGAACCAAACATGATCAAATTTACAATAGATATTTGGTGTGAACAAATAAAAGTATAAATTTTCCTTAACATTACCTCATCATAATTAAGAGAATCATATACAGATAACACTTTAATAGTAGCTTTACCAGGCTTTTTTGCCTGGACAATACCAAAAGCTGACACAGATACAGTAGATGTGTCTGAAGACAACCATTTGTAGTCACTCGCTGCTTTTGCACAACCTACAGCACATAGTGGGATCCAAAGTACAAGAAAAAATATCAGAAATAAACTAGTTACTTCAGATTGGAGCGGATAGAAAAGGCCTCCAACCTCCTATAGCCTTTAATTCCACCTCCTGATAAACGCCAGGAGCCCAGGGCAGTAAGATGATTCCACTATCATTGCCCAAGGTGAACTTTATTTGATCACAAACCATGACTTCTTGCACAACTTTGATAATCTGCAAGGTTCAACAAAGAAAGTGACATCTGATAAAAGTACTAGAATGTTCCTGAGACTACAAAAAAACACAGCTTCTCTCCACCCCAAACAAAGAAGAAATATGAAATAACCACAAAGCAACATGAGGTGAATCAAGTAAAAGAGACTACAAATAATTGAGGAGAGAGGAATCAAAGAAAAAGATGCTTTCTATCAGAAAACATCGAAGAAACAATGATCACCTCCTTTTTGTCATCTTCCCCAACAGGATAGCTCAAAGAAGCTGTCAATTTTCCGATTCCTGGTGAATAAGCTTTCAAGATTTTAGAATTCCTCCAGCCATGTTTAACAGCAATATCATTTGAAACCCAAAATGTTTTCCAGTAATCAGACTGGTTATCATAAACCTTAACATCATCCTTCTGCAATGCAATGACAAATGTTGTAAGTGGAAAACTATCAAAAGAGAAACACAACCAATTCATATAAGAGAGGAAAGAGATTGATTACAAACACAATTCCCACTACTGATGTATACTTGAGAAATAAAACAGAAATAAGGCTAACAATGTAAAATGAAAATATCAAAAAATGCCATTACCACATTTCATTACGTGGATACATAAATATGAAGATATGTCCTAACATTTGAATATGGAAGACTTAACTTGCCGAATTTGAGTCATGATCTTGATAGTGAAGTTATTTCACTAGCAATGCTAGACCTATTATGGTGTAAGGATTAGAAAACAAGTCCTGGATAATATTGAAAGAGAAGGACAGGGCAATTTCTTTGAAAATAAAAAGACAGCATTGTCCCCCTTAAAATATATTGTCTAAGCCAATTAGGGTTGACTCAACTAGTATGATAAAAAACATTGACAAAAAGGACTTAGGTTCTCTTCCGACTAGCCGTCTTTGTTGGATTGTCATCTGTAAGTATCGTCACAAGCCCTTGTTAAGGCTTGTGGCATACCCTGACCTTGGAATGGGGCTTCCTTCCACCCCTAAACTTTTCATACAACAAATAATAAAAAGAGCAGTTTTAGAACTCATTGGTTCAGGTAGTAACCGAGTGGTATATTAGGCCAAAAAGGTGGGATTACTTGCATGCATGGTTATGACTGAATTCTTAAGTGTTTCAGGAGACTTTAGGGCTGACTAGTCACATCAGTACATAATGGATAATTAATTAATAAAGAAGCAGAGAAAATTTGATTTTTCTTTTTTTTTTGAGTTATTCTGTTATCCTTGGATGTCTATGCAATGGCCATTGACTATGTTATTTGGCAAACATTAAGTCAATCATTTCTTTTGGTTCCTTTGTGTCCATTTATGTCCATGGTTTGCACTGCCAGATGCACCAATTGCATCATATTTGCTTGGTCCATTTGTTTGATGTGAAGCAATCGGCTGAAGAGAAGCATAAAAGTTTCTAAGATGAGGAGATCATGTTGAAAAATAGAGGATAAAAATTTGTTGGAATTTCAATAAGTAGGATTTCAGTACATCCAAAGGAGTTCCTTCAAGGAATTTTCACACACCATTAGAGATGGAGCACTTTATCTGGTTCCTGCATGGTGGATTACCATTTACCACAAGCTGATAGGAAAAGATCCTAAATGCATATCATGCATGATACACAATAGTTCCTCTCATCTGCACTTGTTAACTGTCATAGAGATCATTAGGTTGCCTGATGCATGAAGCTCCCACCACTGTGGGATCTGGAGAGGACCCATTGCCATATAGATCATTAACAGAAGAACAATACAAATCCAAGGAAAAGCATACCACCGAAGTATTCTAGATAATCTGTTTCTAGCATCCTTTTTCATTTTGCAAGTGAATTGTCTTTTATTTTCAAAAAAAAAAGGGCAAACTTTAGGAGGCAAAACTAAAGATAGTATAATTCATTATGCAGACAAATGCTATCTGAAACATTAAGAAAAAAATTTCCTTGGAATTGGAACATTTAGATAGGATAGATCCAGATAAGAGAAGGCAATTTAAGCAGTCAATAAAAGCATGCTTTGCCATTGTTGTCACTAAAATAGTCAAAGTGGAATAATGCAAGCTACCTCTGTAATATAAATCTCTTGTGTATCATGATCATGTGCAAAAACTTTTATCTGGATAAGATATTGATGGCCAGATACAACATACCAACGCGCCATTAGAGGAATAGATTTTGTTGCTTCCACAGGATCACCAGAATTAGATAAAGGTGCTATGTATAAACATAAAGAAGCTGGTAGGACCACATTAAGTGAAGACACTTGTACATGGCCAGCAACCCTTGTATCTTCAACAATGATAGCTGTCATCCCCAAGTTCCATGCATTTGCTAACCCCGTCTTTGAGTCAACCTGACCAACCGAAGCATTTGAGACAGACCAGTGATGATGTGGTGAAGGTAAAGTGACCACTACAAATGCCAAAGAAAAATATTGGTAAGATTGTTGATAATATGCTGACCTCCAGCATAATAGGAACAAATATATAAAAGTCATTGGTATGAAGGAATAGATCACAAATACTTGTCTAAACTTTCAAAAACAAGAAAACAATACGCAATCAGAAATTTTCGCAGTACAGCTAGCTTCAACCATTGATCGGTACAGAGAGAAAAGACAAGTAATGGGCTTACTGATTGCCATATGGTACTAGCTAGTTGTAACATTAATTTTTTTCATATAAGAGAAGAAAACAAAAAATGCAAAGATGGAGGATCAGGAATGAGGATCAGGAATCCTCCTAAAATGGAGAAGACAACATCAGTGAAAGAAGAGAATAAGCCCAAACAAGCAAATCAGTCCCTCTGCATAACAGACAAAGTTCTCACATTTTGCTCATTGCTCCATTCAAATACACCAAGAAACAGCCAAAAGTGCAAATTTCTTAAGCCCCTTATTCCCTTTTACACCCAAAAAAAAAAAATAACCTCAACAGCAGGTAGGAAAAAAGATCTCCAAATTAGAAGGACATATATCCAAGGAGGCCCTTCAAAAGATCCCAAATTGTGACAGTATTTGATAAAACCAAAGCAGAAAAGAATAAATTTGTATATCATAAAAGTAGTTTAGTGGAAATTCATTGTGATTCTTCTGTTCTTTGGGCATTTGTGTAGAATGTTGGGTAAGATACTTGACTGGCCTCCCAAAGTTAATAAAGTAATATAAATATCCCATAAAATAAATGGGTTTTATAATTCTCCTTCAACATGAGAATTGAAATTTTCCTACACACCCTTTGATTTCCGTGCTGACATAAGTCCTACATATAATTTTTTCTAACATATGGGTCCCACATGCTTTTTGTCTCTACAACATAAGATTTCAATTCTCATTCAACATGAGAATTATAAAACCCAAAATAAATATACTTTCATATTTTCTTTTCCATATTACCAGAAAATGAATGTCATTACAGTATTCTGTTTTAGACAGAAAAGAACTCAGGGGGCGTTTGGTTCAGGAAATTTTTTTGGAATAGTACGGAAATGAGATAGATAGAGAAATGATTGGAAAGATAGATAAAGTGAGATAGGTAGAAAAATGTAAAAAAAAGTTGTTTGGTGGGGAAAAACTTTACTGGGAAAATTAGGTAACTTTATGAAATCAACAATGCATTAAAAGTCAGATAACCGGTTTTCCAAAAAATCCCACCTTCAAATTGGGTTTCTAAACAGTGCGGATATCTATGTTTCTCATAAATCCAGACAAATTGGATAGATGGGTTTTTGGTGAAAAACGTTGAAACAAACATGGTGTTTCTAAAAGCCATACTTGAGAAACATAGATATCCGCTGAAAAGCCTCCCAACCAAACACCACCTCATAGTGAAAAGGAATGCAGTGCAGGAGGATTAAGAAACCTCATAAAACAGAGAATCAACAAAGAAATAAAAACAACAGCTAAAAGAAGAAAACAATTTTCTATTTGCAAAACAGACAAGAAACCCTGTTTGGAAACTCAAGAGCTGAATCCAAGAATAAAGCTAAGGAAGCAAGGCTATCCCCAAAAGATGAGGAAGAAATCTCCAGCTAATTCCAAAGTTATGACCCAGCTAAATCAACTACACTCCAGAAAAAGAGCACAATTCCAAAGCACCTTACTCTCCTTTCTACGCCCAAAACCTCTAAACCCAATAGGAAAAAACAACTTCCAAGCTGCCTATAAATGAAGCAACAGATTATGATTTGATTCAAAACTCTTGGGGCCCAGAACACAAATGTCAGAATTGTGGGCCTTATCAGGCCAACACACCTATAACCACTCATTGGTATTAAACAAATTGTGAAATGCAGTCCAAGCAAAAGCCTTAACCTCAAGCAGAGACTTAGCCATCCAAAAGATGTTGGAGCAAAATTTCAAGGAAAAGGGTTGCAAATTAGAAGAATTCATTAAAAGAAGAGTGCAAATAAGGAGGACGAGAATTCTTCTAAAATATAAAAAAAAACAAAGGGTCCACATCTATAAAAAGTCAAATGTATTCCTGCCAGCCAGTTATACAATTCGATGGCATAATCAATAAAATAAAGGATTTACAACTTTAAAAGACCACCACAGGGATTTAAATGTAAAGGAAGCAACTTAAGAAAACCTTGAGGAACATTTCCACGGATGACTTTAAGGGTATAGGGAATGACTGCACCAACAAGGACAAAGACTGGTGAGGGTGGATCAAGTGACATAGCTTCAGCTACAGTGAGAACAATCTCATCAGCCAAATTCTTAAAATGCGGCTCCAGCAAATGCACTGACACAATCTCATGGCCAATCTCAATTCCCTTTACTACATACAGATCTGAAAATACACCCTGCAAAATAGGACCAGGAAAAAAGGTTAGATATAATATAATAGGCATTATAAGTTATAACACAGTGGCTTAACTCATTTAAACCAGCTAGTAGCAGACTTACATTGTCTTCAAGTTTTATTTGTGTATCTAAATCACCGCAGAGTCCTCCACAATCACTAAGGGGAGAATCCTTTATAGGAACATTTACAAGGTGATGAGGCAAACCATTGGCTTCAGGCATAAGGTTCCACATAAACTGTAAGCCAACTATTGAGGAAAATACGTTTTCTGCAGCACAACAGAGAAGTTTAATAAATATTTCCAATCTGATCAAAACTCAATTAAGGAGGAAAAAAGGATAAAATGGAAAATTAGTAGAAAACTTTAAGCTAGAAATAATTATATCTAATACATAAATAAACAAATGATGAATAGTCGACTGCTATGTCTAGCAGGATCAAAAGACAATCAGAGCAAAATAAGCCCCACAGCATTTCTCATGCCAATCCTGTTAATGAGATGCCTTCTTTTGTTTACAAAAGGTAATGTTTAAGTTTTCAATAGAAAAGAAAAGATGGTAAAGAAAGCATATTTGCAGGGGAAAGAAATAGGATACAACAAAATAGCAAAATTCAACCACATTGAAAATTTCCATGATGGTGCATGAGTTTCAAGATCTAAAGTACAAGAATCCCAAGATAAGTACAAAATCAGTAAGATTTCATGAACACCTTACCTTCACTGTCAAAGGCGCGGACACGGAGTGTAGCAAGCCCATCTAAATCAAGCTTAATAGAATTATGAAATATCTGGATTCTGGATATGTTGTCAATGAAGACTTTGCAGCGAATAACAATTCCGGTTTGCACATCAGCGGCATAAACCGCGGTCTCCTTCCGACCACTATAAGGGGCAATCGATCGCACCCTTGCACTAGTGGAGCACTTGCTACTTGAATTATACTCAGGCAAAACAGACAGAATATCATGATGATCCCATGACCTAACAAACGCGTTATTTAAAAAAAAAAAAAAATCACAAAAACATCACGATCAACTCAATAACAAGAAACTACAACCAAAATGAATCAAGGAACTCAGGAAATCACTTGTTAAGAAGAATAAACAATTCAAACTTCATCATGCTTTTGATTTTATTAATAACTATTTAAAAACAAATATCATGTATGCAGCTAAATTGAAATGAGATTCAGTTAACTTGAAGCAACTTAAGCAAGATCAGAAAATAGAAGGTGATAACCATTTGAAGCAACCGTCGCTTCCTTGAAGCCTATACTCTACAGGGAAGGTCATTTTTGGTGGCAATAGTAAGTTAACATCTGCAATGTGAGGACCAGAAGCTGCATGCGACGATGGAGTCTGATCCACCCATGCTCCTCCAGCCACAACCACCAACACCACCAGAAAACTCAGCAACAAGTTCACGTTCGCCATCTCTAGTTCCTTCAGACAAAGAGATTTTGCATTGCGTTGAGTTGAGCACAGAGTTGAAGTTTGTTGAGTTTCAGGGTTTAGGGTTTTGGGGAACTGCGTAAGAGACAAAGAGTGAGAAGCAGTGGAACACACTCGCACACTGACTCATGGAAAGAAATATCTTTTCTCACCACAAAGTAACGTTCAAAAAAGAAAGTAGTGTCTTAATAAATAAAAAAATTAGAAAGTAATGTCTTTTAACACCTCGAGATTCTACTCTTATTATATTATTTAAGAATGATTATACATACTTATTGTGAAAAAAAAAAACTATTATCCTAATCTTCTTAACAGTCTCCCTATGTACACAATGCAAAAAGTATTAAATAATTTTTAGTTTTCCAAAATTTTAAAGAATAGTATTAATTTTTTTATGAAAAAAATGGGATAGGATATTGTGACACCCAAGTTATGTTACACCTATGTGACACCCAGTCAATCTCACCGTTAGATCGTTTATGTTGATTCAACGGTTATATTTATTTCCATCTTTGTATGGTCATGATTTCCCAAATTTAAAGTGAAAGCATTAAATATGGGAAATCATAATCATACAAAGGTAGAAATAAATATAAAATATTAAATTTAGGAAATCATGACCATACAAAGATGGAAATAAATATAAACGTTTGATCAACATAAGCGATCTAACGGTGAGATTGACTGGGTGTCACGTGAGTGTAACATAACTTGGGTGTCATAATATCCTATCCCGAAAAAAATATGATGGTTACAGGATTTGGTTTGGTCCAAAAACCTATTTGAAGCCACATTTGAGCATGAAATTGGATGTAGTTTGTAGTTTTGGTCAGCAAGAAGTGGAAAGACTTCAATACTCAATCGGTGTAAAAATGGAGTGGAATTTGTGCATAAAAAGGGAGGTTTACCTTGACATGAAATGGCAAAACGGGTTTGATACGTCATGTCAACTGTATCTAGGAGATGTCAAAATATGACTTTTTATTACACAACGTTTACTACAGGATAAATTTTTTTTATCCCAATAATCACGATTTTCACAAATATGATGAAAAGATGAGTTTTCTGAAAATGTTAATAAAAAGTTGTTTGGTAGACTAAAATATTTCCGAAAATACTGGGTTAATTTTCTTTATTCTATATTTAGTTGTATTAAATTTTTCCTTGCCATAGAAATCTTAGAATACCACCCTTTAGATAGTATTCCTCGATGATATTTTCAAAAAAAATTACACACAAAATAAAATCCCGGAAAAATCATGTTCCAAACGTGGATAAATATGATTACCACTTTCAGTTTTTCGAGAATTCTAAAAAATACCTTGTACCAAACGGCCCCTTAGTCTCCTCAACTCGTCTAACCTATTAATAGGTTGGGTTATAAGTCTTAACCTACCAACTCATTTCAATCACAACCGTTAGATTCACAAAAATCAACGGATAAGATTTAATGTAAAATTTATTATTCTTACACTGATATAAGTTGATCACCCCCTTCTAAATTACTTGTCAATATTTATATATGTAATATGATGAAAAGCAATTTAAATAACATTAACATGAAAAAAGTAATTTGACAGAAATTTAAAAGATTTATTTTACCAAAAAAAAAAATATTTACAATCAATATTTGGAAAGATTGAATTTTAAAAGATTTTAATGTAATTTGTAAGATTAGAAATGATAATATGGATTTGCAAAAATTTTAAAAAAATATATGATTTTTTAACAAAAATTCAAAGTTATAAAAGTTAATAAAAAATCAATAAAAAGCAGCAATATTAATAAAAAAATTAATATAATTTCCTCAAACTCGTAGTAATTATCTTTACATTTTGACTGTGTAAACTATCAAGTTATGAGGCTTTTGTTTTAAATTTGCTTTACCAGTTTTCCCTTAGTCCCGTTTGGTACGCGGGATTTTTTGGAATTTCTGGAAAATTGAATTTTTTTAAATTTTTAATTTTAAGATATAATCGTAAATTGAATGTAAAAATCATATTTTTGAAAATTGAGATTCCCGGATAAAAAAAAATTTCTCCTCTACCAAACGTCCATTTAAATATTATTAGAGGAGCAGGTTAAATCTTTATTTATTTCTCCCAATATCTTAGGACAAAGTTTTTAACTAGATCATTGGGTGTCCTTCATAAACATAAAAAATACATAAAGTAAATTACGTAACACAGGGTTTACTTGTATTGTCTATGATATCAGAGAACACCAAGGTGACAACTCCATAAGGAACATCAAAGTTTGGAAGGCCACCGTTGTCCAAAACAACTTCTGGAGTTTTTTAACTCCTAGTGGTTAGGCCATGTTAAGAATGGGGTTCGATACATTGACATGACAAGTGCAAAATATTGAAAAGATGGTTGGTAAGGAGTTACTAGTATTTCAAGGTAGCATATTCTCTAACTTTGATATAGAAAGATCAGTTAGAAATCAAACTAAAGAAACTCAAGAACAACGAGTCTACCTTAAAGAAAAGAAAGAGAGAATCCCCTGAAGAAGAGGATGAACATGTGGATATTGGGAAATCAATCAAAGACTTGCTGGATCTAACAAACAGTTTGGAGGAGGATCAAGAGAGTACGAAGAAAGAAATGCTCGAGATGAAGGAAAAAGAATTTCAACTTCTGAGATACATCATTCCTTGTTAATTTTTAAATTATTTTTATTAGATTGAATACCTGAATGTCTAGGTAGAGCAGGAAGTCTCCGGTGTACCAGGGATTCCCACCCTGATTTCTTTTCAAAACCTTTTTTAAATTTTGTGTTGTTACTAATTTTTGTTGTTAAGTGTTATGAATGTGTTGATGATGTTATGAGAAATGAATACAATTTTGTTACCCCTCTATGACTTGCATGATGCCAAATGATGTATAGTTAAGTTTTGTGATTGCTCCCTATTTTCTTTGAAAATTATGCCATTGAAAATAAAGAATTGCAGTGTTGTATTCTACTAGGAGCATGAGTAGGATAATCCTCTTTTTGTGGATGTAACTTGGTTGAGCTTAAATTTTCATGGTATAATCTAGGAAATTAATTGATTTCTCTTGAACCATGCTTGGGAATTAATTGATGAAATGGATGTCTATTCATAATAAGTTTGTTGTGCTTAATTAATATCATGAATGGAAAAGCCTGATAAATTATCTTATATCTCTCTTAATATATATATATATATATATATATATATAGGTAGGATCCTTTGACACCAGTGTCAAATTTCAATTTTGACACCTCATCTGAGAGCCATTAGATCAAAAAAGATCAATGGTGTCACACGCTTGCAAATCAGAGTCGTTGATCTTTTTTGATCTAACGGCTCTCAGATAAGGTGTCAAAATTGAAATTTGACACCGGTGTCAAAGGATCCTACCTCATATATATATATGAGTACATATCTTTTTTTGTCCTCAGCAAATTTCACGATGTCTGCTTTAGTCCCTAGCAAATAAAAAAGCTATTCATGGTGCTTAAGAAATTCAAAATGGACCCATTTTAGTCCTTTTGAGGGACTAATGTGGGTCTTTTTTGAATTGATGAGGGATCACGATTTCAACTAAATGGGTCCATTTTGGATTTCTTAGGAACCACAAATAGCCTTTTTATTTGCTAGGGACTAAAGCGGACATCGTGGAATTTACTGAGGACCAAAAAAGATATTTACTCTATCTCTATCTGTCCGTCTGTGTGTGTGTGTGTGTGTGTGTCTGCCTCTCTGTGTGTGTGTGTCTCTGTGTGTATGTGTGTGTGTGTGTTTGAAGGTCTGCTCCTCTGCTCCCACATTGCTCCCAAAGGGCCTAAGTTATCAAAAATTGGAGCAAAAACCACTCAAATAGCACACCGTCAGTCATATGCAATGATAAAGGTAGTTGACTTCCATGCCAAAGACCAAGAATAAAAAAGGGTAGTTGTAGTACAAAAGCAATGCAACTTATTTTGGATTTAATTCCTTCATTAATTGGATTTCCAAGTTGTGTTTCAGGAACAACCATGAGAATTCCTAATCACACACACACCAAGCTTGATTTGTGAACTTCATAAATCAGGGGGAAGTCTGAAAATGTAATTAGTGGAAAATATTTGGTTCCTGTTTGAATGGTTCTGAAATTCTTAAGGAGCAATTATTAAATTTTGAGGGCTAAAGGTTAGAAGAATTGCTTAAGGACGAGCAATGTTTAGTTTTGGGGTGTTTGACAGCTCCTAAAAATAAAGATCCTTCCATTGCATTTTATCAAAAATCCCCCCTGTTTTATATGATGTTTTATTGTATATTGTCAACTTCAGGAGCACTTTAATGATAAATTGGGCTGGAACAATTGTTAAGTCTGGAATAGAGGAGTACTGGAGCATTTTAGCTTGACTCTGCTAGTTATGGTCTTCGTGGGCTGATTTACTCTTTGTAGGAAAGCCAAGGCCCATGTGAAGAAAACTCAATTCATCAAGGAAGGAAAACTTGGAAGATAAGAAAGCAAAAACAAAAACAAAAAAGAGATAATAAAGCATAAACAACATCCTTTGTAGCAAAAAGTAACCAACCGAGAGCTGCCACATCAACAATGACAGGGAAAAATGTGTGCAACGCCTCAACAATGGGAATTTCAAAAAAAGTGCAAAAGAAAGGGACCACAAAAGTAAATAAGGCTGACATGGCAAGGAGCAAGGCTCTAATTGGAGAGCACTTGGAGAATTATGAACCTTTGATCAATCGAATTGAGGATATCAGTTAGAGAGGAGTCAACGCCTATGAATAAGAAAGAGAAACCTCCACCGGATCATCTTCAAGATAGAGAATATCCATTATCGCTTTTTAGCTTAATTTTCGAGATTTCTATTTTTAGGATTTTACCATGCTCCTTAGCATGAGCTAAGTTATTTTAGTAGGCTAAGGGTGAGGTAGAAGTAACCTCTTTGTCTTAGGTTGAGATTGTAATTGAATCATGTTTTCTTTAATGAAATGTGAGATGTTTCTTGGTTTAACGTTTCAATATTGTGAAACCTCTTGGTTTGCAACCTCATCCTGGAACCACTTGGTCGATGAAACCCTCACAAGGCAGTGTGGAGCAACATTAGTAGCTTTAGGGTATTTGGCTCTGAGCTAGAGGAATATCAAAAAAGAGGAGTACTG